TTTAATTTATGTGCTGTTAAAATCATTCGATTCCATTACTATACTGTATATTCAGTGATTTTATCTTTCTTCGTTTGCGGAGAAGGCACTGATCTGAAGCATTTACGCCAAATTTTCTTTGTTTTGCGATAATATCTGGCAACAAGAAGCCATGTGTGGTGTGAACGATTTTTTCACATTCCAAAATTTCAGTGAAGTGTCTTTAAACTTGCCATCAAGAAAATTAGTTTGGAGGCCTACAATTTTCCGTCAGGCGACAAAATCCTTGGTTCCTATCCTTGAAAGTCATCCTTCGTCCGTTCATCTTATTTCGCGAACAAGACCAAATAAAGTTAGTAGGCAATTAATTGACACTTTGGTTATATGAAAAATTTCGCCTGTCTCAGAAGTGACAGTACCCTTAAGACCAGAGGCTTTTCATGCCCGGTTTCCGGTTTTTTTTTTCAATAACCCTCACAGTCATAAAAAATATTAATGAAGTATTAAGATAAGTTGAAATTTAACACGATATTGTAGGCATGCGTGGACGAGGGCATTTGTATTTTTACGTGATCTCTTCACTGTAAAACTTGCGATAAGATGGAAGATAACTTCCAAGTCTATTAGTTGACGGTTGGACGTTTTCCTTAACTTCTCAACCGGTGACATTCTCGGTAAAAAATATCCCAAAAATCTATCTGTAATTTTGACCGTTAGAAGGACAAGCGCTTATGATTACTGATGCAGTAACAAATAATATAATGAATTAAGGTCTTGGGATTTTAAAGGATACAGCAGTCAAACAGCAGTTATAATTTTTTTAATTATAGTACTTAGTCTGGTTCAGTGTTTAAAAAAGTTCCGATAGGAAATCACGAAACATTGTAATCTCTATGAATGTGTTTAAAAAAAAAACCTTAAAATTTTGATATTTCTAACGCCTGGTAGAGTTGCCTGGTCAATTACATATAAAGAAAAGAACTAAAGTTTCATAAGTAGTTTTTGATATTACACTCCGCACCGCTACAATGATCATACATCAAATTTATGAAGTCCAAAAGTTTTAGTTTTTATATGTCTTCCTGTGTAGATATAGCGTGTCCACTGAAACGTAACAGACACATTAAAGTTTGTTCCTGATGAACTCAAACTCAAACACAGAACCATTATAGAATCGTTTCGCAACTCTGAGTCGTTTAATTATTCATGTTCAGTCAGTACTGAAAGCGTAATTTTACAAGGGACGATAAGATTAAATGCAGAGTCCCAAATTGTTTCTCTAACTATTTTTCAGGACCTAACTCAATCACTGTTCGTTTTTCCTTCAAATACATTTTGACTTAATATGTGAAACTAGTGTTGTTTGTTAATTATAGGAAACGAGAAGATTAAGCGGCTTGTACTGGCAAAATGGAGTTCAAGCATGAAAATTTACAGCATTAAGTATAATTGCAAAAAAAATCCAAGATAGCATCAGCCAAGATATGTGACAGGTAATATGTCCCACAATCATGAAGAGCTCATCATATGGGCTATATCTTTATGCTACGAGATCATAATCCAGCAAAAACCAAGGAGTGATTCTAACCTTTCCACACCCCCTTTCCCCTTATTGCACCTTGGCGGTGACGGCAAGAATCTGTCCGCTCGGGCTTTGAAGAATTTGTTCCAGACGAACCTTAATCACTGCAGTGTTAGTTTTTGCTTCGAAATAGTTACCATTTGTTTTGTTTGACGAGATGTGAGGCGTTGTCGAGTGAAAAGCAAGGAATTACAAACGTTAGATATATTTGCAAACAAACTTTTTGAAAAAGGGTTCGTAGTTACATACTTGTATTTTACTTTTTTAACAATTCCTAAGAAAACTAAACGCAATACGAAGAAAACTGAACTTGTTTTAGAATCGTTTTACAATTCGTCGAGTTATTGTGCGCAAATAGAGTTCTATTCTTAACGTTTCGAGCCATAGACTTCCGCAGCATAGCATGATATTGTGCTTCAGTTTGAACTTACCTTTTTGGTGTCTACTTTTGGGTGGCGTGAGACAGTGTTTGGTGTTAAACAAGGAAGCATTAGGCCTTGTCGTATGATAGCTAATGATAATAAAAAGAATGCGGAGGCAAAATGTTTGAAAACAGCTGACAAAGTGATATGTCTCCTATTTAACAGCTCGTTAATATCATCTTAGTTGAAATACACGAACGAAACTTGTTTTAGAATCGTTTTGCAAGTTGTTCAGTTATTGTACGCAATCAAAGTTCCAATGTTCACGTTCCGAACGACTTCCGATTTAATATTTTGTTTTACGACCCAGTGAGGTATTGTCGAGTGATTCAAAAAGCAAGGAATTACTAACGTTAAATGTATTCGGAAGCAAACTGTTTGAAAAAAGCTTCAGAGTTATGTACTTACAGGTTACTTCTAAACAATTCCTAATAAGATTAAACGCAATATATGAAGAAAAAGGGAGTTGTTTTTTTTTTAATCGTTTTATAATTCGTCGAGCCTACTGGGCGCAAATCAGTAGATTTTCAAATCTTTTAATCTGAACGTGTCGAACCATGGACTTCCGTGGCATAGCACAATCTTGCGCCTCCGTTTGATTTTGCCTCTTTGGTTTGTATTCTTTGGTTACATGAGCAGTGTTGGGTGTTAAACAAGAAAGAAAGGCCTTGCCGGTAATAATTGGTGATAAAAAAAGGGATGAGGAAGAAAACTATTGTGATTAAAATCTGACAAAGTGATATGTCATCCTGATTTAAATTTCGTTGTTATCAACTTATTGACGCACAAGTTTTGTTATCATTTTACAATTAGTCAAGATATTATGTGCATTTTCCATCTTTCGTTTGGAAACGACTGCATAGTATAATATTGAGCTTCGAACTTATCTTTTTCAATGGTTTCTACTCTTTCGTGGCGGGAGACAGTCTTCAGTGATAAACAAGGAAGCAATACACTTTCGTATGAAAGCTAGTGATAAAAAATGACGCGGATTCAAAATGATGAATCAGTTGAAATAGTAATATGTCTCCCTGATTTAACATGCACTTAGTTATTATCATCTTATTTGGAACACAAGCATAACGCTGACTTTTTAATCGTTTTGCTTTTCGTTCAGTCGGTGTCGGCAAAACTATGAAACTTTTCTGAGTTATCTCAGCATACATGTAGAAACTTCTTTCTAAACTTGACGTTTTTTAACTTCCTTGGAATGCCATCACTTGAGGCTATGTCTTACTTAGGTCTTGTTATAAACACGACTAAAATTTCAAACTTGAGGTAAATGCGGATGCGAAATTAAATACTGTTCCCAGGTGAAACCGTGATATGGCTTCCCGATTCGCAGTTCCTTTCTCTCATCTCAAGCGCAATATAGTGTGTAAAATTTAAATTCAGTTTAGAATCCTTCTGGGATAGGCCATTTCCGAGTTCAAAAACTCTCACTTTCAAAATGAGGCTGAAATTGCAAAATTTTTCTTGTGAAAATGAGTTTTATTTGCATGAGACTGTTTTTTTTTTTTTTTTTTTTTTTTTTAATTTAACATCTATGGTTTCATTCGCACTTCACCTGGCTTTGAAACAGAGGCTTGGGGTTACTCGGAAATGGCCTATTCGTTGTCAAGGCTGCGACTTAAGCGAAATAATTCAGTTAGTATTACGGTGATTCCCTCTAATAGTACATAGCTAGCTATTACCAGCTAATGAGAAATCCAGCGAGTTCCAATAACGCGAGCAGTTTAGTTACTGTGGTATCCACAGGCTCATTTTGAACTTTTGATCGGATTTTTTCGGTTTGGCTTCATTTTGTTTTTGGTGGAATTTAGAAAGCTTCTTTAAAAAATGTGCCTTTCTCAGTCAACCAAGCAAGTGAGGACTTTGCCGGTACTTGTATTATAGCAACCAAGAAGTTGCATTGGTTGCTGTAATTATATAGTGGAAACAAGTGACCAATATAGCGAGGCAATTACCGTTCCTGTTTTTAGGAAGACGAAATTAGAAACTGTCTGACTCTCGCTAGATCAATTTCTGTGACTTGCTTTTGTAGTAATAGACCATTTTACAGTTGTGAGCCTAGTATCCTAGCCTTTGAGTGAACGTGAGGCTGAGGTCAGACCTTGTTTTGATACAGGCCTCTTTCCTTTTCTTATGGAAATTATACATCAAAAATACCAGTTAGCATCAGTAAAAACAACATGATTTACATAACAAAGCAGGAAGCGTCGTATCAAAACAAGGTCAACTCCAGCCTCGTTTCCACCTGTAACTGTAAAATGGTCTATTGAAAGAGTTATTAAAGATTGCCCTTTGCCACGTTAGCTTTAAGGGGAAAATAATTGTGCACAGCAAAACGCTTTCCTTGCTAGGAGAAAGTTCAGACCCTCTTTGAAGATATGTATCATCAAACTTGACATGGGTCTCCCCCAAGCAAACTCCTACAGGTTTTATTAGGGTTAAGATACCGCGAAAGTAAAACCCTTCCAGCCACGTCAGTCTGTAAAACATGCAGATGCAGTGATAAACGGACTGAAATCGTATCATCAGTGTCTTCCCAAAGAGGAAATCAAGGGTTAAGGAAAGAACCTTAAAATAAGGTAAAAATCTAAGCAATGATCGACAGGAGCGAAGTAAGATGTAAATTCACGGATTTGAAACACATTTAATGATGATTACATAATGCGATCTATTGCGTATTTCAACCTTTTCTCTCTTGGGTATTGGGTATACAACGCTTAGCTTGAGACCAGGAATCACTTCCTGATAAGAAAACTTAAAGCGAAATTTAGATGCTTTGTATCAAAAGACAATAAAACAGCACTATTGCACTCTTGTGAAGAAATGAACAGAAATAAAAATTAGAAGAAACCAAATATGTTTAAAACAACAGCTACTAAAAAAAAGGATCTGACAAAAATGGATGTAAAGTTCTAGCTTTCTGGTAGCGCATATTGGTCATTCAGTTCCTTCTAGATAACTTTTATAGGTCTTATTGCCATTTCACTTGTGACATGGATTGTCTGTTACTTGGTAGTAATTCCATGAAACTCAGGGTGAATCTCAAAATGCCTCGGAAGGCAGCGATGAGGTTGCATGAACAGTGCATTCTTGTTAATGACAAATCCTCGAGGGGGGCACATTGGGAATCGTGAAGTTTTCTTGTTTTTCTTTAGGAGTGGAACTTTTATAGGTCTTCGGCGTTCAGTTGGGCCGGGTTCGTTTATCAACATCTGGCGGACTTGATCCATGATTGCATTACGGCCAGCCCTGGAGGAAAAACAGTTTAGTGATTTCTCTCATGTTATTTGGAATAATATATAGATTTACGCCAAAAGCCAAGCTGTCGTCTGAACTTTTAAGAAATTTATTTCTGAACTAAAGTTTTGCTGAGACTGTGATCACTTAAATGCTGTAATATAACTGGTCAGTGAAGAACTTTAAAAAAAACGCGTTACCTCAATGAGTTGTAAATAACAGCCCGCGATACAGTCATGTGACACTGGTCAGGGGATACCCTATTTTGACAACCGTCAATTACATAATATGGCCGATGTCTAATACAGGTTAAACAAAATTTGTATTTCCATACGCCTTGGAAAGTTATCCGCTAACATGACATACCTACGGACAATTTTGTCAGAACTCAATTTCCTTACTTGTGGTACTCTGCTGCGCACTTCGATTCGCGCGCGAGCGCTCCGCAATCACCACATTCTGAATAATGTGAGCGGGCGTGCTCCTTGCTAAAATTTGTTTAGAGTAATTACCAGATCTAGCGAGAATGCCTGCCAAACGACATTACCATAAGAATTTTCCGCTCTTCTTTATATCTTAAAATATTTGAACTCTGTGCTCTGAGCGAAATTCTGGAAGCTCGCCTTGGCTGATTGGCGTGTGTTAATGCCATAATGAATGCACAATGTTCTTGAGCGTTAATAATTTCAGTTTTTCTTTAGCGGCCACTGAAATGAACCAACTTGAAAGTGTAATTCAAGACCTAACTTTTGTCGCTTCACTTTCCCGTCCCATGTAAGGAATCCGAGACATTATACGCCGTGGGTTCTGGATTCCAGGTATTGGATTCCAGCTTTTCTCAGTGGAACTTAGATTCTGAATCCTACACCGTGGATTCTGGAATCTGAATTACCTTAGATGGCGCGAACTTCCCCTTTAAAAACTTTTAAAGCTTACGTTGCCATTTGGACCGATAAAATGTGCCATTGATGTGGATTAACAAATGGTCGCTTCTACAAAACAGAGCACTCAAAGTTGAACATCAAAAATAAATAACTCACCTGGAAACTTCCTGAGATGTTTTGTTATCAACACAAATTTGTTGCAGACGGTAATATTTTCTATCCGTCTCCAGGCCTCCTTGATTCGTGCCTCTGCTCAACTTGTTCAAAAAGTCGACTGCAACACCACGATCTGAAAAAAGGGGTGCGGGCCTTCTTAGCCAAACCTGAATTTACTATTTTAGGGTTGGAATGTACAAAGTGTCCCTTTCCCGCGCCGTGGATCAGAAAATCGAAAAAAAACGGGAATGAAGCTTACCTGTTCCATTTTGATGTTTAAGCCACCGATGGATAGCAGGTATGGCCTCAGGTCGTATAGCATGAGCCAAGCTCTGCAAAGAAAAAGCATTGTAAACCCTATTTAGAAAGCGCTTTTTTGCGTCTCGCGTCTGATGAGCGCCCCCCCCCCCCACCCCACCCCCATGACTTTAATACCGCTCATGATACAGCCAATAACATTACCAGAATAATGCACTCATCATTTCCAACATCTAGGTTCAATGACATGATGTGATGTCATTATGAAGTCGTATTATTGAATTTCTTAGCTTGTCACAAACAAAAAATCAAATCTTTCTTGCAACAAATAAGGTTGTTAACAGGTCTGAATAATGTGTGTGGTTGGTGAAACGCGCAACATCGGTATTTAACAGCCTAGTCCCTAGGTATTCTTTCTTGATCCGTTGTCCGCGCGAACTCGACGAGTATCTCTCGGTGACGTCACAGCTCATGGTAGAGTCCAGGAATGACCGAGCCGAAAACGCCTGGGGACTAGGCTGGCTATTCAATTTGTTTTGCAACAATTTTGCAAGGCAAGTTGCACGTTTTTTGTTGCCCGTTTTTCCGTACCTTGTAGTAGCCATAAGCGAAACCAACACTTAAATAGTAAGGTGTCTGATAAAGTGATCGATTAATCAAATGTCAGTTCGATTTTGATAAAAACTATGTAAATCAAAATAATCCTGATAGAAAATTTCGTGTGTATGAAAAGATGCTTAAGAAGCAAAAAGGACTGTTTAAGTAGAAACTTTGCAGTGGGCATAGCCTGCGCAGCTGGCGGGATAAGCGTGGGAGTGTTGGATTCTTTTGGCGGCGGATCCGCGAGAAGGGAGAATATACAAGTCAATTACAAGTGAGAGGGAAAATCCCGCCGGCGGGATTTTCCCTCACGGTTTGGTTAAATGGTATGCACAATTCAGGACTAGTCAATTTCTTCCGGGAATTGCGTTTATCGTGTTTAAAAATCAGTTCCATGCACCGAAAAACGGCCGCGAACACTGCGAATCAAAGCCTGAAACTGAACGGCTCCTGGAAACGGGTATCAAAGATGGCTTTGAAGAAGGAGTCACAAATTTCCATTTGGAATATCCTACCGGCAAAATACAATGTAGGACTAATTTTAACTTTTAACTTCACGCTGCGCTGCCTTTTGGGAATTTTCCCCTGGGCGGAAAACGCCCTTTAATTTCCGATCCGAGTTTCCGGAAACACGGTAATGGTAAACAACGACAGCCTATTTGCGCCCCCGCAGCGTGTCCGGCCGCCCCTAAAATTTTCCCCTTCTTTAGGGGCTAATCAAAAATTAAGAATGCCTCACCTTTCCCAAGTATCCTCGATCACCAGCGTCTAAACAACTCTCCACAATCAGTCTCTCTAAAAATTAAAAGTACAACTCAAAAGGTTAGCTGGTACCCATTTTGATGAAAACACATTAGAGAAATTACCGAAGAAAAAAGCGAAGTTAAGCTGGAGGCAAATTTGTTTTTATATCTTAGAGATGTAGAATTAATTCACCTTAAAAAAAAGCTAAGCAAACGTCAATTTGTACGACGTGTCCAATTTTTCTTTTCATTTGTAGTCATAAATTGCTCAATTTTGTATCTACAGAAAACGAACTCATCTTCATGCCAGTTTTATCAGCAGAATTTTGGACGGTTTTTATCTACTCGTTTTGAGTAACTGAGGAATTGCGAACATGAACCTGACCTTCATGGTAATTCCTCCTAAACACGTAAATTAGATGATACGTTAATTCCGTTTCTCTCTCCAACAATTCAAACTTGAGAAGGAGCCTGGGAACAAGGGTTTGTTGAGAAAGTGCGAGCTGGTGATCTGGTCAGCATTATAATATCGTAGTTGTATTTATGTACTTTGAAAACCAAAAGCAAAGTATCCTTGACATTTTTCTAACCTAACATTCATCCCTCGTGGATTGTCTTTCAAATCAGCGAAAAAATTATGGCCTTCTAGCTATACTCTGATAAACTACACTCGGAAAATAGCCACAAGCTTATTTTTCAAGTCAGAGCGCATCAGACAATATTTTTAATAATTTTTTCCCCTCGACTTACCCTCTGATGAAGCCTGGGATACCAAACTGTCGTACGTCTGCCCTACGTCCTTTGACATGCATAACGGTGTCATAATGCACTGAAAAGTAAATTTTGATTATAATTCCCCCAAATTTGGACACAAAATATTTCCTCAGGCAAGATATTTTTAGGGCTTTGTCGAAGGACGCGTGACGAAGCCTAATAATGTCTGCGTGGGATGATAAACTCGAAAAGGACTTCTATAACAAGCCCTTCCATACGTATTATTTTTAGATTAGACTCCCATGATAAATGAATCAGTCATCCCACATTGATTATATTACAATTGTACAATATAAACCCCGGCTAAAAGCTAAGTCAGTTCTACTGATGAATCTTAAGTTGCCGTATACAGTCAGTCAATATATATATATATATATTTATATATATCGATTATTCAGGTGAACCCATGCTTTTGGTTAATTATTTTTTACCTTAATTATTTAGCGTTTGTAGCAGGCGCTTGAAGATGGATTGCATGTACGAAATTTCATTTTAAATAATAAAAGTTTATCTCTGATGTGTTCTCGAATACTATTATTTATATTTTCTCTCCAAGTTAAGGTGATTCTGAAAGGCAAATTTCCCTCCTATAATTACGCCCGCCCAAAATAATTTCAGTCGGATATTTGGCTCCTAAAAGAAGCCTTGAATAATAAAGTCCTCCGGGGGTTATTTTCAGAATATAATTTTACGGTATTGGTATTGGATCAGCTAACTGTTTATATAGGGGTTATTATGATAATTAAGGGTTTGTTTGGTCAAAGGTTTATAGAGAAATTGTACATATTGGGAAATAACAAATTGAAACTGAAAAAACGTATTTAGTAATATAATGACGGCTGGAATATCGAATCAAACAACCACAACATTACCACAATATTTATTAGCCCCTTTAGAATTATTACACGACAAAGATAACATGAAAATTTAGTAATTTATTAGAGCCTATAGCTGGAGAAACCGGGTGGTTTTGGTGTTTAAGCCCCGGCCTGATACTATTTAAGTTTATTTTTAAAAACAAGCAGAAGCAAGTGGGCGCATGGTTAGTATGCAGTTTCAATTAACGATATAAGCTTCTATGCAGTTTTCCGTAGAGAATTGTTCTGACAACAAATGACGCTTTATTTATTTTGGCAAAGGGAAATGTACTGAGATCTTTCAGGTGATAAGAGATATAGCAAAGTTACAAGTCTTTAAAATAAATTTCATTTTTTAATAGAAACAAGGGACTTACTTTTGGACGTGAACTGGGTACTGCTTTGACATTGTTTTTACCTTGAAAAATAGGTTGTTGAGTAACTTTTGGCCCTGACGAGGGAGGAAAATTGCAGAAAATAAATCGTATTGTAGAAAAAATTGCAATTTCAAGTTAACAAATAATAAAACCAAACTAGGAATGAAGGAGTGTGGTCATCAAGGCTCAAAACTCGGCTCGACTTGAGACGCTTCCCTAATGGGCTTTTTCGAGATGCGGGATTTGCCTTATGAAGTCTGCCAGCAGGATTCTGGAATTCAAAGCAAAATGGGGGCGGGATTCGGGACAGAAAGTATGCACCCGGATGCGAGATGCCTCGATCGGGATTACAGGATTGAGGGGATTCGGGATAACGGGATTGAAGAACCCTACAGTGGACTCTTGATCTGGAAAGGGTGATTTAATGCTCTTATAACGTGCAAACCTTGCATAGACGATTAGACGCCCCATTCATGTAAGAGAATACGGATTCCTGAATCCAGGAAATTTTTGCTTGTAGAATCCGGAAAATATTTGCTTAATCCTGGGCTTTAGAATTCGGAATACAGCTCAAGGAATCCCACTCTCCTCCCCAGAGCCACTCGGCTTAATTTGTAGTGGCTAGCCCTTCGTTTCAAGACCGCGTGACTAAAAGAAACGACGGGCTCTGAGAACGAGAATAGCAGATCCGAAATAGCACTAACATTTGGAATCCAGAATCCAAGTTGCACAGACAAATACTAGAATCCAGTACCTGGAATCTGGAATCCATGGTGTGGAATCCAGAATCCAAGAGTAGACTGTTCTGGATTCTCTCACATGGGGCAACGGAAAGCATGAGGTGGTTTATCTCAGACCGACTTAATACAGGGGCCCATCACCCAACGACAATTTTTGGAAAATATCTGTTCGCAAGACGATTTGAGATCTAGAATTTTCGGAACATTTGTTGTTAAATTTCTTGCTTGCCTGCCTCTCCTAGGATTTTCGAACCACCCCTGCCCCCTCCCCAAATGGTATAATTGCCCATTTTTAACGGTTTTTTACTCCAAAAAGGTCACCTAGATTTTTCGGGAGCCTTTTTCTGGCTGACATTTTCGAAAACGTAAGTTTTGATCACTATAATTTAATTTAATAATTTAATCACTAGACTTTCAGCTAGGAAATCCGAACAGATGAAACATTTTTAGGGGATAAAAATATGCCTTTATCTACTGTTTAAATACTAAACAGGACTAAACTAAAATATGTTCAACAATGCCATTTTTAAGTGGTTTTGAACTATTTTCTCGTTGGGTGCCCCTGTTAATAGGCTATAAATACAATTAAGAAATGGTGAAATCATTGCCGTTATAGCCGTAGAATTGATCTCAATGTTACACAAGTCATATAGTATTAATTTTACAAAAATAAAGTTCAGTCCTTACTCGTCGGGTAACGAGGCACCAAACAGCAAACGTCCTGGTACAGTTTACCGGTCTTCTCCGAATCTGATATTTTTAAAAAAGAAAGGTTTGTAGCGGAAAATCAGCGACTGCTGACTGATTGGTGTTAATGGAAATGATGATGATAATCGATGTAGACGATAATATCAATGACAATGATGACGATGAAAATGATGACAATAATAATAACAACAATAAGTGATAATGATAATGATGTCTATGATAATGAGAGTGATAATGATGATGATGATGATGATGGTGGTGGTGGTGGTGGTGGTTGTAATGATAATAATTAGGACTGTAGCACTCTACTTACTAAATCTTCCCACATAGTCGTCGTAAAAACGCTGTCGGGTCTCCACGTCTGATAAATACAAGAATGCTTTACTGGCATCATTCACCTTTTGTCCTGGCATTGGCTTCGAAGGAATCCTCCAATTTAGAAAATTCTAAGGAATGAACAGAGTAATGAAAAGACGCTTCAACATCAACCAAAGGTGGATCAAATGATACCTTAACACTGAAGCACACGTACCAACTCGGCGGTATGGCCAGTACCAAATGGATCAAATAGCCCAGGTTCTCGGCGGATCAACTGAATCAGACCGAAAAGCAGTTTTAGCCAGCCAGCGCAGGATGTTCAGTAATAAGTTTTTTCCCGAACGAGGCTAAATATACAGTATCGTACAAATTTCTCATTCATTAGTTTAGTTCACCGCATGTGAAGATCGATGTCCCGGAGACGATCTTCAGACGTTCTATCCTGAATGAAATGGATAGAACGTTTTGAACGATCCAAACTCATTCGTGAGACGACCTTAACTGAGCCAGACGTCGAAATTTAATTTTAACTCACTAAGTTTGGTTCGTCTCATGAAAAGTTCGACGTTTGGCTTAGGCCTTAAGAACTAAATTTGATTCTAACGTAAAAAACGCAACCATGAAGAGGGCAGAGTTCAGATTCTGGCAAGTTGGTGGCCGGAACCAGGAATATGGGTGATACCGGTGTGACACTCTAAATATAAACACTTAAAATTGAAGGCAAGGCTGATCGGACAGCTACAATCGATTTACAAATTTATCTGTCCAATATTTCGACTAGACAAAAATAGTCTTCATCAGGGGCTGGGAAAGCTAAGTGAGAATAGAATAAAAGGTTACAGTATATAAAATAATACAAAAATAAAAAGATAAAATGTGATTGGTGAAGGAATACAATAGACAAAAAGTTGTATAAAGAGGTTACATAAAAATATGTCAATAGATAAAATTTCATCTCGTCTGTTCATCCCATAGGGTTCAAGTGTTTGCCTTTAGATATTAAAAATCCTTCGCGGGCCTTACGGATACCGTCCCTGTCTGAATTAATTAGATATATTCTCACTTATCTTTTCCAGCTCCTGATGAAGGCTGGTTTTATCTAGTCGAAATATTGGACAAATACATTTGCAAACCTTAGCTGCCCCATCAGCCTTGCCTTCAATTTTAAGTGTTATTTTATATTGCTGATCCTGATTTTCGACAAGATCCGGCTTTCCCTCGCCGCTGTTTGTTCAAGTGGTCCCTGCAAGAATTGTTCACTAAATATAAACACTCGACCTTACCCTTAGTTTTACCTGTGATGGGTGTGGCCTATTTCGCCTGGTAACGGAGCAAGGCCTGGGCAACGCCGGCCTTCCTTCTTTTTTCGCAAAGTCAATCGAGTATGATGTTGAACCAAAGGAGTCGATGTTATATTTTCGAGGAATATTTAAGCCGCCATTTTTTTGGCACTTCGGGTAAATATGTTCCGAAGATTCATGAAACATTTTGCGTTCTCGCCAACATGGTTTGGAGATTTCTTCTCCTGCCGCTGTTGCCATTGTAAGAATGACGTGAAAAAACAGAGAATTTTAACCTGGAATCATTCTACTTAAGTAAATACCAAGCACTGAAGAGAGAGTTCGATAGCCAACTAGCTCTTAAACAATAGGCATTAACTGTTTCATGTCATAATTAATTATACGTTATAGCTCCTATTAGAATCATGAATGAATAAACAACCAAAACCGTTCGAAAAAAAAAGAAAGAATAATAATAATAATAATAATGATAATAATAATAATAATAATAATAACAATAACAGAGATTTTATAAAAAAAGATGATGATATGGAATAAAGAAAATTTAAACAAACAAAACATAAATGTATCCTGAATCAAACACGTGTATTGGTCCGCGCGCGAATATCGAACGACATGAGGTCACGTGACATCTTCTTGTTATTTTTATATTATTATTGCGCTCCTTGTAAATGTGTCGTTAAACACAGTAAATGAGACGAAACAAAGTTAACAACTTTTATCATTGCACAAGAGCTTTCGAGTCTTAGGAGTCTTGTAAAAAATGTATATTTCACTTCGTTATCTTAGTTTTTCTATTCTCTGTACCATTTCTCGCTGATTTCTCCTACTCCCAACAACCGATAATTTTCCTCTGAACTATCAGAATTTTAGATGTCTTGAGTATAAATATTAAACATTGGGCCTGTTCGTAAGGTAACTTTTTGACCTTTTTTCGGTCCTAGTCAGGGCCCTGGTCCAAGTCTAAAACGCAACGTGGCGGTAATAAAGGTCGCCCACGCATAATTAAGTCAGCGGATAGCCTTCATCATGGTAGCTATGTCATATATGATTCCTATAGTGTACCGACCATCACAACGGCTAACATGGAGGCTGCGAACTACATCGGCACAAAATTTCGTAAGATTGAACTCTTTTCAGAAGTGTCGGTAAGTTTCCACTGGCGATAAATAGAAAATTAAAAGATAAATTCGTTGAATATGCTTTTGTTGGGCCTTTTAGGTGAATCTTTTCATAGGAACTGTGTTTATCGCAGTCGTCATTTTGGCCTTGTATTTCTTGAAGAGATTTATATTACGTAAAAAAGGTGGGTAAATTTGTTCATTTCATGGTTCTATTTATTACTTGTAATGTCTCGTGTAGTGCTTGGCTTGAATGCATATATTACTACATATTAACTTTAACTTTGTTACATATCACACACTCACAATTGTTTTGACACACAGGCTCAGTCGAAGTACAAGATGCAACTTCTGAATTTCCAAAACCGAGATTTCGTAAACGGGACAAAATGATCTTCTACGGCAAAAAGTATTTGAGAAAGGTGAGAACTTGTTAATATCCCTGTGCGATATACACTACGAAGCGATCGGCGGATAATTATCCAAATTATATGATGCTGAAGTTGAACATTAGATTGGTAAACGTTTCATTGTCGAAGTGCATGAAACCTAACTTACGACACCTTATGTATCAAAGCATTTTTACCCTACTGTTAACCAGTAGGCGTAATTAAGTATATTTTATTTTCAGCTCTCAGTTCATGACAAGCTCATACACTAGCGTTTACTCCGTCCGAATACTGGGCTTACGTCAGTCTAACATCATTGTTTACCTATGTCATTTTCCAGTTGACTGAGTTGGAGTGGTTTTTTGTTTGAACAAGAAGTTCTAAAACATGATTTAATAGTTAACAAGGGCTACCTGTTGATCTCAGGTGGAGTTCACATCAAATCAGCTATACTTTGGAAAACTACCATATACAAAAGTGTGGATTACGAGCCTGCAGAATGCTACTGTAGTCAGGGGAACTGCCCACCTACCCCTTGTCTAAGGCTACATTTTGCCCTAAGTGAGAAGTAAGTGTTAATGTTGGCTTAGAGGAGAGGTAGGTGGGCAATTTCCCCCGAAAGATATAATGATCCCTTTATCTGACTTGGACAATTCTCCATAGTTTGTGTACATGTAACTTTAGCTTAAGCTACAATTTGAATCTTAAGATTGCTCTCCAAATTCCTGAAGGGGCTCTTTTATTTTGTGGACACTTTTTTCTATTACCAGCTTTCTTAAAGTGGGGGACTGGGTAGGAGTTAACACGAGACCCACATAATCAGACAGAGCACACCAAGTTTTATGAAATTCTCAAGTTTGTTGTTAATCGGGCCAATATTGAACCTGATACAACCAGTAAAAACTTGAAAATTGTTCCTTAACACTAATTTTTTGTCTGGGCATTCATATATTTCTTATAAATTCCACATTCCCAACAAGTTCTTTTTCTTCAGGGAGTCATGGAAAGATTAATTTTTTTGTAATTTTCCACATCAGTTCTTCTTAGTGGCTGTCTCCCTTTCCCAACCTACTAATGAAATCAAGAACGATGATGATGATGATGATGGCGATGATAACTCATATACGCTGTTTATATTCAACTGAGGATTAAGAGCTAATCAGGCTTTGAGCAAATCACCTTTGGTGCCCATTTTATATTTTAAAAAGAAAATCAAACGAATGTTAGTGCCAGTTCTCATCCCCTATAACCAGTTCATTTTTATTTTGTTAAGTCTGATATGAAGCTTTCTAACAATTGCATCACTTTCAAAACCATTTAAGCCTTGATCTTGAATGCCAACAAACAGCCTTCTGACCTGGAAATTGGACTTTTGGGAAACCTCTAGTTTAAGTACTGAGACACAAAAAGTGTCAAGGGTTACAGTTGAGGACCAGACAAGATTCTCCTTCAGTCTTTGCAGTTGTGTTCCACTTGTGTTCCTAGTTGGGTTTCCTTCCTTGTTACAAGATCATGAAACACAAGGGCCAGTTTTTCATTTGAATTATTTTTTTTATGTGGCTTGAGTGCAGACCACCTCTTTTTCACATACGGTTGTTTATGACGTTCCACATGAGTCATGCTACTGGTACATGTAACTGTTCTTCAGATAAAAACATGTACAGTGTAAGTTACAAGAAAAGTGAAGGCGGTTTTAGTTTCACCTTGAAGTTGAAGATAATAGAACAACAGTACAGGGTTGTCGTTAAGGGCAACAATCTGTAACACAGGTGGATTGTTGTGGGTAATGTTACCAGTTAGCCAAAGAAGGGATTGCACACAGTCATTAAAAATTATGTTATGGCCAGTAAAAATTTACTTATACACCCTCCTGAAAAGAATGATGACATCTCTTTTGACATGGGTGAAGGAAAAGATCCACAAGCCCGAAGGAGCATAAACCATCCCAGCCTTGTTCCCAGGGTCTAATTCCTCACCTATTTCTCTCCTGTAGGAGAGGAGCCTGGGAAGAAATCCAAACCTTTCATTGTCAAATTCAACACATTTGTTTTAATTAATAAAATGTATTTAACTTGTGTTGACAGGTGAAACAACTTTCTCAACAAGATGAGGGATATAGAAGAACTATCAGAAAGAGACAGAAAGTTATGTTCAACTTTGGGAGAGAGTAAGTTATAATTTGAGTCTATATGTTTGAAATTCAACTGGCTGTCAGTGCTCTAAGGAAACTTCCCAGAAGATCCAGCCATTCCAGGGTACACAGGATATAATTATACATGTTTCATGTGCAAAAGCCCTTATTCTGTAGTTTCTCAAGGGCAGAAATGATTCACACATATTGAGCTGCATGTCCATATTAAAATTCAGGCATCTGCAGGCTGTCATTAAGAGCCGCGGGCCAGTGATTTCCACCGGGAGTTATGAACACGGCCCCCGGCTAGTTGCATAGGATAATAGAAGAAAAATAGAACCAAAAGAAATCCCTGGCTGGTTGATTCCCCACCTACTTGTTGTATTTACCTGGCAACTTGAAATCTTATTGACATCCCTGCATCTGACAAGGTGCAGTGGTGTGGAACGGCATAATTTGGTATATCACATCTTCTGCATATTGAGAGCATATTGCTCATAAAACTGAAAAAATTACTCAATCTCTGGAAAAAGTAAGCTGAATTCCTTCCTTTCTTTTAAGCAGATTTTCTCCAAAACATCAACTAAAATATGCTGGTTTGTTGGGTGATTAATATTGTCTACAATGGTCACCTCTCCTCAACTTTCCATTTTCGTTCCAGAAGATATGTATACAATTTGCCCCTGTTAACTCTTCACCATGATCACCTCTCTACAATAACCACTACACTGTACATGACCATTGTGCAGGGGTTTGTGTGTTTTAATTTTTTTACAGAATTTCATTAAATGTCTAGATTTGGCTCTTTGTCTTTAAAGTAATATTACTTTTATACAAGTGTGCATTGGGTTGAAACATCATTATTAATATTTTAATATCATGTTTTACATGTATGTAATTTTCTTGGAACCATTTGTTTTAAGGCTTAGAAACTCAAATAGAAACCTGCAAACTGATGTACAGTACAGCAGTTAATGTACAACTGTGTTAGGCCAAACCTTTGGCTTCCCAGGCCTTATATGTGTAATAACCTCAACCCTCCCCCAAACGGTGAAGTGATTGGTGACTGGTGTACAGTAATTATTTCATACGGTAAAATACAGTGGTCATGTAAATATGTAGTCTTGCAAATTGTTACATTAAAATCACTACTTATATTTTTACTGGAAAAAATCTAAATTTTAATTTAATAAAAACTAATTGATGATGATGATGATGATAAATTCATGCTTTTAATCTTAAATACTTGTAAATTATTGCAATTGTTTTTGTTTTAGGTATAGGAGGTAGTTTATTTTGTCTAAAATGAGTGCATGTGACAAGAATAATGTTGTTATTTCCATAACAAAACCAGTTCACTCAATTTACATATTCATTTAATTTATTTAATTTTCCTTGAAGAAAAAAAAGCAAGGTAAAAAGTAGGAAGGGTGAAAGCATGTTCATTGCTGTATGTGTTTGCTGACTGTACAAGGAGAAAAAAATAATGGAAAGACACATTTGAAAACCACAAATAAATAAATAAATAAATAAAGTAAAAAAAAAAATCATAATAAAAAAATGAATAAAGAAAAAATGTTTAGAACATAAATGCAGACAGGACTACTTAATTTAGTTATAATATTATTTATACATTATTTGAATACACTCATGTACAGTACGTAGCTTCTCAGCAAGACAACCCAGAATGTGGAATTCATTACTAGAATTACATGTACCTTATTTAGAATTATTTTTAGATGAGGGGCTGTAAATTTCTTATTAAGTTACCCTGTCAAACAATATGCCACCTGTTTAAAACATATCCACGAACCTGTTCCATGTGCAAAACACAGCAGTGAAATGTTATTAATTATTAATGTCCTGTCACTTCCAGTCTGTAGATACCAGTAAACTGCACAGCCTTGAAGCTGCCTTTGTGCAGAAAATTTGTGCTGTATTTCCTGTAGAAAACAGCTAGTCTTTTATTATTTAATTTTCTGTGACAATATGCTATTTAGCTCGGAGTCTATGAACAGCTGATTTGTACATGTAGCCGAGACTGTTCAACTATAGATCATGTAGTAAGGCAGAGGATTTTGCATCTGTAAATCTATGGAATCGATTCCGGATTTCACATGGAATCTGTTCAGTACTTGCTTGGATTTTAATGTGTTTGGAAACTGTGTGACTTGGCCTTTAAGGTGAGGTCTTTATTTTAAAACGTCTTAAACAGCCATTTTACTCTGTACAGTATCTAAAGTTTTGCATGCACTGATTGTCTCATAATTTTGAGCCTCATGAATATTACGAGCAGTTTTTGAATAGAATCTTGGAGCTTAGAAGAAAACAGTATTTTTACACCTATATCAACATCATTCTACATAATCAGATTTTATTACCTAGCATATACACTGACATAATATAGATGTACATACACAAGTCACAGTATATACTGTCATTGTTTTTCGCTAACATTTGGCATATTTGTCAGATTAGGAATTCACATTGAATAAGATTTTAATATGTGAAAGAATTGACACAATAAGTTGACATAATCATGTATAGTGATGCAAATGTAGTGAAAGTTAGTATGAAGTTCATTGCTAGTGTGTTTAGCAAACCGAATAATATCGTTGCAATTTGATGATGCATAAATTAAGATACATACTACTTAAACATTTTTAATATCATACCACCTTTTGCATTCATTGTAGTTGTTTTCTAATTTCCAAGCATGTGAAGGAATTTAGCAAACAATTTCGCCCTATTTTTAATTATCCTACATGTAGTTTTTAGTTGAATCTCAGATATGCACAGCTAGTCTTTGCGAGGAGCATTTCGTAGACGTAACGTCCTCATTATGGTAGACGGTGGTTTGACTTTCCCTCCCACAATTATAGTACCCTTTGTCCACCTATCTGAACATTTTTTTCTTCACAAACGCGTCAGGATTATAAAACATTTCTTGATAAAACTGCTTTAGGTTTTGATGACGGAAGCTTGATCTTGATATTATCTCCAAGGAGTTAGGAGTGTTTTTAAAGGTTATTAACATACAGTTGAACCTCTTCACATCGGCCGTGTTGGGTCCGAAGAACGTGGCCGTTGTAGAGAGGAAACCGATGTCGAAAGGTAGTGAAACAAGAGTCCGTGTATGGACTGTTCTCCAAAAAAGTGGCTGTTGTAGAGAGGTGGCCGTTAGTGGAAGTTCGATTGTACATTTCTTTTGTAGGCTTTTGCGATTTGATGACAATGAACCAGGAAGACAGCTCAAGCAACCTCCAGCGGCGTTTCTCGAAGCAGACTCGGCTGAGGTAAGAGTTAAACGTCTTTTTCAATTTTTTGTTTTCGTTCTTGTACAGATCCAGTCTTAAACTGTATTAGTAATTTTTTAATGTGCTATCGTGCCAAATGATTCTTGCCCAAGTGATGTTTCTTTACAGATTATCGTACGCCTTTCACAGCTTTTCATAATTTTTTTCTAAAAGGAATTTGCACGGTGGAAACCGGTTAATACGGACACTAAGGGGTTTGCCATTGTGTCAGTAATCCAGGTGTCCGCATTAAGCGGGTTCTAAGAGAAAACGTCACGGACACATTTTTTATCGATCTAAAGCGCAAAAAAGCAGACATAGCAGTAATTGTAAAATCTCAAAGGATCGTCACGATCATTTATCATAGTCTCAGACTAAACTATCCTTCAAATAGTTGTCTTGAAATATACAACAATTGAATCCGTGGCTTTTCTTTGTACTGACGCTTTTAGTTTGCGAAAGTATATGAGCTTTTCGTTGAGATGAACGTAATTATCCGTGACAGGTGTACGTAGAGCGTGGTTCCACTGTAAAAAAGTTTTGAAGAAAAACGATGTTTCAGACTTCACTCCAAGATAGGCCTTTTTTTTAAGACGCACAAGCTTAAGATTCGTAACCTTAACGATCAAGGCCTACTTTGGAGGGATTTTATATCGAGTCAGTCATTGGGGCGTAACGGTACTTATAATCTGTGCAAGTGAATATATATTTTTCATCTTTTTTTTCTGGATATGCTAACCAACGCAAAATTTCGTAAATGTAGTTTTTGTGATATCATCACTTCTCGTCTCTATACTATCTAAACCTACACGCCGATTTCCGAGTTCCAAAAATTCTCAATTTAAAATCGAGGCTAAGTGCGAAACCTTCCTTTTGAAAATAAGTTTTATTTGCATGAGAATAGACAATCATTTTCATATCAATGGCTTCCCACCATAAGCCTCGCTTTGAAAAAGAGGCTAGGGGTAAGTCGGAAATGGCGTATTGCATTTTGCCTTTCTTGTTGTCGTCGCCGTCTTCGTTGCATAAGCTTACTCTTTTTAAAGGGGTGCGGGAGAAGGGGTCTCATTTGGGTGTGCCACTTTTTGAACTTAACATGGCCCTTTTCTTGTGGACAGGTGGATATCAATGAACCTCGCCTCCCCCCTGAGGTTGTGTACATGCTCAAGAGTGTAAAGTAAGTGTATTTGATCGATCATTTGTTTATCTCTTTCTCCATTGCTGCCAAGGTGTAAAATAAATGATCCTTTCTTCTTGTTTTGAGGGTGTTTGGCCATTTTGAAAAGCCGCTTTTCTTTGAGCTGTGCAAGTACATTGAGACAAAGTTTGTTCCAGCTAATGCTCTTCTGTTTAGACCAGGCCAGGTGAGTCGTATGGATAATTCCGTTGCTTTTAGCAGTCGTTGGGATGTTTGAATAACGGAAACAAAATTTTTAAACAGGTCTGTACTCGTCATTGCCGGCGTTGCAGGCGTTCAAAAGGGAAGGGAAGGGAATTAAGCGCTCGCACGCCCGAGATTCACTTCCCTTTCCTTTGAAACGCTACCACGCAGACCATTCGCCATTTGTCACTTGCTATTCGCCACCTCAAAACGAGGTGGAAACTGGGCCGAGTTTACTTCGCATTGACTTGTGGGACTGTTACTAGGGGCAGCGAAGAAAAAACTGGCCAATAGCTGACTGGCGCGTCCCGAGTAACTACCCCAGAAACAATTACGGGACATTTTTCGGCTCCAATTCTCTTCTTGTTTCTAAGGTGTCGAGTGGCCGTTTACACGCGGGTACATACAACGTAAAAATTCGAGCAGTATGGAGCATTTCCACGAAAAAAAAAAAAAAAAGGAGCGAGTGAATTTTTACACCAGCTTTTACAGGTAGTTTATCTTCACGTAGCTACCAATGGCTGGATTAATGACCGATCAATCTAACCGTTTATTTAAAATTTATGCTTGGATACTTCTAGTGATATTTTCAAATTAGAAGTGCATCCGAGAAAGTCAATGGGTAAGGAATTTACTGGATGATATTTCCGTGATTTAGCGAGGATCGTAAGGGATCCCTGTTAGCCACACTGGGTCCCTAGTAACCACACTAGGTCCCTATTGACCTCACGGGGTCCTATTAACCACGCTGGGTCTGTTTTTTGTATCTTTAAAGATGGATGATAGCATTTATGTGGTGCAGAGCGGAAAACTTTGCGTCTCTGTTGTGGAAAAGGTCAGTGATTAGTAAACGGTAAATAGCCAAGATTTATCATAGTTTTCACAGTGTTTTTTATGCATACACTTTTGGGCAAACCAGCTAATTTCAACCTTAAAACTTTGCTGTTGAAGGTTAGAAATTAAAGCTTTACTTCGCCACCTGATCCGATGACAAGTCCCCAACTTCGTTCCCAGTCTACGGAGCGAGAGAGAGAACCTGGGAACGAGGTTGACACTTTGCCGACTCGTAAGCTGCCACTTCGGGTAAACGGGCACCAAGTTGCTGTCCTCTTGTAAATGGATGCGATCACATTTTTGAGGGTCCTTCAAAAGCTAAAATAATCTCCCATATTTGGATAGTAGTAAAAATCAATCCACTACAAAAAATTCTTACATTCTATACGTGTAGATGAATGAAGATGATTAGTACGGGGGGATTGCCTTTTGTTACACGCGTCAACAAGTAAATAATATCGTGGAACGTCGATATAACGAAGTGCGAACGCCCAAGGGACTGGCAAAATATTTTCGTTATAACGAAGTTTCTTTGTATCGAGATTCTTTTCCATAGATCTTACTGGGGTCAAGAATATCTTACGTTATACCGCTCTCGTCACATAGGGGCTCGTTATATCGAGGTTCCATTGTACCAATTTCAATCAGTTGTTTGTTCATCTTCTCAACAATTGCTCATCCATTGAGACAAATCGCAATTGTAGTGCCAATGTATTTAGCACGAAAGTATTAACTGAGGACATCATTTTTATATTTCCTACTTTGGTTTTGGTGCCTGCCCTTTCACGAACAGTTGTGATGACCAGTTTTGATTATGCTTTGTTTTAACAGGACGGCACACAAATGGTGATGAAAGAAGTGCCTCAAGGAGAAAGCATTTACAGCGTCCTCAGCATATTGGACTCTCTGACAGTAAGTCAGCTTATTGTATTTGTTTGGTGTGTGGTGAGGGAACAAGCAGAAAAGCTTGCTTTTACTTTAAGGCAGTAAAACATGAGTTTATGGCGGTTTTGCACCTTTTAAGATGTCCCCTGTCGTGACATTTTCTTTTGCTCGTGGTATTTGTTAAAGTGATAAGATGTTTTCTATGAAACCGTCACGTATAGCGCGTAGTTCATTTGAGAGTAGATAAACAGCTTTTCTTTGAGTCTAACCAAACAGAATTGAATTATCTTAAAGCAAATACGTGACGTCAACGCGCCAAGGACGGAACACTTGCTGGGAAGTTTCCATTGGTGCTGAGTTAGTTTGCTTCTGATTGGTCGGAAAGTGGCGCGAATGTTGCGTAGCCTAGCAATACTGTAGTCTGTCTACAGACATCCCCTCGCTCTTGCGCTAGCAGTCAATATTCTTGTTCGCGCGTTAAATGATCTCTGAAGAGAAAATAGGTCTGAATAGCCGATTAGCCTATAAATAGTGGAGTTACTTGTGACACTAGATACTATAAACGAATAAACGGTTGACTTATTTGAAATGACCATTCAAGTTGTGTTTTTTCAAAAGAAACGACGACTGATTGATGCAAAGTGTTAATTAATGTGACGACTTAAGTGTGGCAAAACTGAGCCAGTTGACTGGAACAGCACCCCGAAGCTGTTAGAAACGAGCGCGAAAATGTATTTTTCAAGAACTATGTCGAATTGAGTGAAATAATCAAGAGACTTACCAGGTTCTCTTCTCACAAATGTATGGCTCCTTGCTATTTGTAACCACTCTCATTACGTTCTGTCGTAGTTAGTAGAGGGGACTGGTTATGGAAGTCGGCGAGCTTCAGAGAGCGCGACAATAGAGTCGTCTCTGATGTTGAACGTACATAACTATGGTTCTGTAAAGTGCTAGTCTCGTTTCCAGACCCTACAATGTGCTTTATGGGCGACTAATATTTTTCTTTGACACGAAAAGGGATTCTTTATGTTTTTCACAATGCACTTGTTCATGTGACTTATTTGTTGCCACTAGGGTCATCCAATGGCTTTGCCTCAAATATGCTGCAGAGCATTAGTGGATACACACGTTTTAAGGTATCTATACTGTGGGCAATTGTCTCAGTTGCTAATTTTAACGTCTTTGAGCCTTCGTGATAGGAATTTGATCAAGAGAAAATTTTCTTTCTATTTTGATGTGTTGTTTCTGTTAGTGTGGTTAGTGTGTCTGGTTGAAGAAGAAGACTGGTTTCTCTCGAATCACTCCTTTCGAAAAAGTATCTTCACAAATCATTATTTTTTTTTTGTCTTTTGTTTTTTTTTTACAGGCTGCCAGGGAAAGCCTTTCAAACTGTGTTTGATCAACATCCTGACTCATTGGTCAGGGTTGTACAGGTGTGTTATAAATTAAATAAATGAATAAATAAAGAAACGATTTTGGTTTCTTACTTTAAGGAAACCGAGGAGGGTTCAACTGCTACCTTGAGCATTGTCTGACAAAATTTACCCATATCCGACGAAATATTGCTGCAGTCGGACATTAGCTACTTTAAAACCGAGAAGAAAACTGGGGATTGTTACTAGTTTTGGCACACATTTCGGCTCCAGTCCCCTTGGCGAATGCTGACTGGACGGGTCAAATGCTAAAGACAACCATTTTGAAGGAAGCTGAATATTTGTGACTGGCAACGCTCCTGGTCTACCCGTCTTCTGAAAATGGCGACTTCTTCGGACATCCACTGACTCTCTGAAAAGTAGTATTATTTTCAGCCCTGTAATAATGCAAAAAACGTAATATTATGTTGGCGTGGAAAGGTGAATGGTCACACCACATGAGCTATATGTAGAAATGCAAAATTATCTCTGGGTGCTTATGGTTTGACTCGTACATGTGGTAACCGGTCGTCTCGCGACTAACCAGCTCGCCAACAAGTAATAACTCTGTAATCTACTTCGAATAAGCTTAGCGAAGAAGTAAAAATTCTAGGTTAGTAACCGAAGGTGAGTAAACATGTCGATTAATGCAGAGTCATTACTTGGTAGCGAGTTGGATGGCGGCGAGTCGACTTCTTGGTGGCGATTTCGTTGGTGACGAGATGACTGTAAACCGTACATGCACCTTAAATTAGGATTGAACTGCATGTAACTTAACCCTTTCACTACTAAAAGTGGCGAAAGGCACAATCCGGCAAAAGTTTCCAATTTCTTTTTCACTCCGCCAGAGAAACAAGGTTTTAGATGTATGACGTGCAACACTGAACGACTAAAAGGTTCCACTTCCATATCGACCATGCAAGTCAAGTACGTTAGATTATAGAATTTGCTACACCATGATAAAAGTGAGGTTACGATCCCCTTTTTTACTCTAAAGAGTCAACGCAAGTTTAGTATTAAATGACGTGGAATACGCATGAACTGTTGTATTGTCTCGAGCTTGACTTACTAGAAAATACAAAGTATGATGGAACGACTTTTTTTTGCCTCGCAAGTGAATCATTTTGTCTAAGCCCAGGGTGAAACGTCGAACAACAGATGGGAGAAATCTAATACCAATAATCGAGAACGACAGATTTTGCTCATTGGCATTGGGTTTGTCACTTGTGAAGTTCGACTTTTTAGCTGCGCCTTAGGCTATGGTCACACTTTTTCGGATGGTTTTTCGCGCTGACTCAAAAAGCTCTCCGTTATAGTATGAACACCTATCCGATATGTGACTCTCCACATTAGAGATCGGCGAAGCGTAGCTCCACTCCGTGACAGAAATCGCGCCGAATTCACTGGTCTTTTGTGTGAGCAGAAACCCTATCCAGTAAAGTTTTCGTGCCGGCGCAAAAGCTATCCGGCATGGTGTGAAAATAACCTTAGTTTCTTCAGAATTCAGTGTCGCAGTTATGCTGAATTAAGTGTGTGTGGATAAAATCTATGATTCTGTTGTTTTTAGATTATCATGCTTCGTCTTCAACAAGTTACATTCATGGCCCTTCACAACTTCTTGGGACTCAGTTATGAGCTTATAGCGAGTGTAAGTATATTTATCTGAGGTAACCATGTTAGATTACACTGTCGTGATCCTCTATTTCCCTTTCGTAAACGGTCGTTGCCATTTTTAACGGACGATGCCACCATTGGCAACCAAGCCTTCAGTCATGATAGGTGTAATATATTCCCTGGATTAAGTTACAATAAGGCAACGTTGAAGTCCAAGTTGAATTTTACGTTAAAACTTGCGGAAAGGGACAGGGTCACCTGTTATTGATGAAATAGTTAAGAAAGACAGTTTGCTAGTTTATTTACTCAACGTTTTCGGAATTTTGTTGGGTCGGTGTGGTAGTGAGTGGTAAGGTACGAAAGATCGCTTTCGAGGTCTGGGTTCGACCCAGGGTGGCAACCTTCTTCCGTTTCAATAAAACACTCTCAATGACAGGTCGAAAATTATTTTCTGTCTTAACAATGGCAGCGACCGTTTACGAAAGAGAAAATGTACGTCGCTATAGCCAGTCGTCAGACACGTTATCTTTATTGTTTGATTTTTTTTAAATTATAATTTACTTATAGCACCCAGGAAGAAGGCGTCCTTCCATTTATGGCATTACCAGTAGTCCAGTGAAAAACAAGAAAACAGACTCTTCACCCAGTGTAGCGGAAAATGTTATGAAAACGGAAAAGAAGATTCCTTTGGAAGTTGATTCTGTTACCAACAGTGCAGTGCGGTATGAGAAAACAACTCATTCCCCTAGTGGAGTCAAGACAGAGGCAGATAATAAAACAGGTAATGCTGTATTTTCTTTGCCTCTTTCCGTATGGTTACAGCAACTGAGGGGAATATGCTTCAAGATTTGTTAAGCGTCGGCGGATTTAATTTACCCGAGAATTGTACTTAAAGGTTTTTGATATCGCACCATGGATGCATGGTGTAGTTAAGAGAGCACGAGAGAAAGCTGAAGATGCGTACAACATGGTATAATAGTTAATTAGAAATGCTTTGTCCAATGATCCCCTCTGTTGATAAAGAGTCGTATTGCATGGTGGCTCGTCCCCTCTTTCGATAAACAGTCGTATACCGTGCTCGTTCAATAGGAATTAGATAGAGCCAAATGCAAGGATATTCTAATGATGCCCGTGATCATGTGCTGATGACCCCGCTGTTTCTAAAGAATAGGGAATTGAGTGCCCGAATGTATTATTGATCCTCTAAGACTCATAAATGAAATCTGAGGAATATCGCTGCGTGATGGAAGGTTCTAATTATTATGCATCAATCTTTTTCTTTGATTATTTGATTGTTTAAGAAACTATATCAACACTCGATTCTGACAGTTATCGGGTGAAGTATTGGTTCAATTTACGACGCTCTCTCGAGTCCAGTCGTGGAGCGCGGGCTCATTTCTCGAACAGCTACTGGTTATGGAGCCTAAACGAAGTGCGGAAACCTCAAAGCTCGGCCGTGCGTCGGTTTTAAACCCACTCCTCGGTGTCTGAAGATCGCGTAAACACTGTACCTCGTTTTTAATTTTGTCCCTGTGTAGGTGAACCGCGTGGAATCCTGGGCAAAGAAAGCAGTAAACCAGTCCCCGTGAAGAAACCCTTACACCGGAGCGTCAGTTTTACGGAGCCTGAACACCAGCCTAAAGTAGAGAAACAAATTGGACGTTGTAAATCAGCTGCCACGCTGGAAACAATGGCGGGTGCTGGCAGTGAGCCCGAAAACCTCTCGGGTAAGTGCCTCACGATGCTGCTCCCTTGTTTTCAGAGCCACGAGAGCGTTTAGCGATGTAATCATAAGTATAACACCACACAGCGAAATCGAAATTTTTAACCCATGACGGAGGATCTGCAAGGTACTTAACACTTAAGATCATCACCCCTTTAGTGATCAACATGACTTTTCTTCTAACAATATTAAGAGAGAAGATTGCTCTCATAATCTCCTAAAGGCAAAACTCTTTAATCTTTTATCAATTTCTCTCAACTAATCTTTTAAGGAAACGTATGGAGATTAGTTTGAAGAATTTGTTCGTAGATATCGCCATCAACCAATTTACCTTCCTATGTATTGCTTAGCGTAAATTTTTGTGTTGTCATTGCTGTATCTCGGAGTAAAGGCACTACAGTATTTTTTTAGTTCGAGTTGCATGTCCTTAGACAAGAAAACCTTGCTTAAAGTTTGGCTTAATCTTGGGTTAAACTTAACCGTCTTTCGAGGAACCGGGCCCTGTTATCCTTTTAGCTCGCTTTAACCAGGCCTCAAAGAGGAATGTGCCATTGCATAAATAAAATGACACTCCCCTCGTTTTCGAGAATTTTTTTGACTCGAAATGAAATCTCTACTCACTTCCGTCGATGATAGCAAATTATATTGTCTTTCAGATATCATCCATTCGCTATCTGATTTTGACGCGGCTCTTGGTCGTGCACGCGTTCTTAGTATCCCAGAATCTCCTAGCCGCTCCGCCATGTTTGACCTGGAACTCAGCGACAATGAATCCAGTCCCACCTCCCTGGAGGGGCGATTTGACTTCCCATGCACCCCAGTGAACGAGGACCTGTCCAAACAGTTTCTCAGTATGGACCCTGAAGAGGAGGATAAAATGATGAAAGCGGCAGCCAGTGAGATTGCTAAAAGTCTTGATTTACCGGTAAGTTCAGCTGCAGCGAGGCTTAGTTCACAACTAATTCACGCGAGAATGGGATTACAATCAACTCTCTCTTAGGCGGACACCTTTGTGAACGACACTAAGTGTCCGTTTAACGCCGCTTTCCATTTGTCAGAACTGACCGGCCAGACCATTCCCGTCGTAATGACAATTTTACTTTTAATCAAAGCTATCCAGCCACATTAGTCAAATCCTAAATAGTATGCACGAAGGAGATGGCTTTTCAGCAAAATCTCTTTGAAAAATCTTATTGCTTTGTCAATATGACGGCGGGCCAGTTCTGACTTTTGGAAAGCGCTCTAAAAGTAATGTCCGTCTTGTAGAGAGTCAAACAGGGCGAGTAAAGATAGGCAGGCACAAACTCTAGATGTCCGTTAAGAGAGAATCGACTTTAGTCGGGATTTGTATCGCATACGGTCGAACTCTGTTCACGGACCTCCCCACCTCTTTCCCCAATCCCTAGATGGACACCTCCCGCGAGCACACATTACAGCCATGGTTCCAGAGTCGGTCAAACACTGAAATTGTTACCCTCCCTTAGGCGGACTTTTAGTCATGGTCCCAGACACATACAAACACTACATTGTTAACCTTCCTTAAGCGGACACTTAGTCATGGTCCCAGCCACATAACAAAGGTTACATTATTGAAATTAAGCCAACACTTGTTTTTTTCTCAAAGGTGCTCGCTTATGGGAGATGTTGCGGCATTCAAAGCTATGACCGATACTTTTGGTGGTCCAAATACCCAACGCTGAGCGGTCACTTTTATTAAATTTGTGTCATCTGATTATTAACCAAAACTTGTAATATAAGCAACTGGATTGAGGGAAGGCTCTGTGAGATTGATTTAAATCTGTTCATCATAGGACTCTTCACTCTTGGAAGGGATTCTGTCTGTAGCCTGCATTCCATCAGGGACAGTCTTAATAAAGCAAGCCGATGTGGTGAGAATATGTGTAGTTCAGCTGTAATCGTTTACTTTGTCTTCTCCCGCCCTCAATCTCTTGTTCGTCATATGAGAAATCAAAGTATCCCCAGTAGAAGTAAAACACAGTCAGGCAATACTGACTCTTCACCGGTGTTATTTTTTCTTTTTCAACAATTTAGAAAACGTCAATTCGTACCACGTGACCGAGTTTTCCCTTTACTTGTTGTTTACAGTTTAATACATCTGCGTAGAAATAAATAGTTTCACGACAGTGTCATCCACAAGATTTTTATAGGCAGTTTTTATCTGCTCATTTGTTACTCTGAGAATTCGTCAACTTGCATTTGGCGTTTGTTGTTTGTCGCAAACGTGATTCTAAATTTCGCTATTAACAAGAAAGGACGCGCAGGAGCACAGGTACCCCAAGCTCACGAGTGAAAATAGTGTTGCGTAACAGAAATATTGTAAGGGTTTGTATGAAAAATTTATCGATCGTTGGCCAGAAACGCTAAGAACATACCACAAACAAGACAATGAATTAAGGTAAAAAGTTGTGATGTATTTTTATTTTAGAATTAATGAATAATGAACGAAAAAGATTGGCTTTTCGCTCCCTGCCTTCTTTCCGCCAACGTCATCGTGGAACTAACGTGCCAGTCTCTTGCTACTTTCCTAATCCGCGACCGCGTACAAATGATAGAAAAAGACTGGAGACTAATCAGTTCAAACCAGATACCTACAGTGTAATAAATACTAGTCTGCGAATACAGAAATACCGGTAGAAATCAGACAACATTAATCAAGCAAGGCTCCCTTGGGCTTATGTAGTTATGGTGATTCCTTCCGTTTTGTTTTGATAGGACTGTAGTTTGTATTTTGTTGTGACTGGAACGCTGGAAGTAACGCAGAAAAGTCTCAGCGATGATCAAGAGGTAAATGTGTACATTATGAAAGCCCTGGGTAACTCTAAATTTTTAACTGAGTGTTTCAATAGGCTTTTTCTAAAAATACCATAATAATTTGGTTGTCCCTCCAAAATTGGCATATGCATTGTTTCAGTTTCTCTTGGTGTTTGCAATCGCCCCTAGAGGAATTTAAAACAATGCTTATGCAAAATTTTGGAGGGACAACGAAGAGTATTACGGATGAGCTTCGGATGAGAGCTTCAAGCTCAAACAAAAGATTTTAGTGAGATATGTGATCACTAAGAGGTTTTGCTGTGCATATGCAAACAGGGAGCTAAGAAATCTTTAAAAAGAAGCACGTTTTTTTGTAGTAGTAGTTATTGTTTTTTGTTTGCTTGTTTTGCTTTTTTAGTTGCTCTTATTTCTCAAATGACGCGTATTTAATGTCCCTTGCGCACAGCCGTCATTTACCGCAAGAAATTCTTGAGCCGTGGGAGGGACTTGTGTTAACTGCGCCAATAACAATAGGGAGTTTAAAATACTACGACAGCAACGTCATTTAAAAAGTGCGTTCGCGTTCTTTGAAACTTCAGCGCGATTAACCCAACTCGCTCATTTTGTCAAATGTGGGCGAACTCTCTTAGAGGTGAATTCGTCAGAAACACGTCTAAGTTCAAAAACATTCGTTTGTTTATTTTCTCGGTAAACTGTGAAATTAGACAATTTCTCGAATAGCCGTGCAGTATCCTGTTTACATCAATCTTGCCCGCGCTCCTATGCTAAGTGATGGAGAAATCTGGCGGCCTCTTCCGGATGAAGGATACAGGCCCGAGAAGCCATGGGCTGGGATGGGGTGGGAAGAGAGAAAACCAAACCACCCGAAAGAGGTGCCATAAAGTGGAGAGCGGGCAAGACGAGGTGTATGGCCATAACAACAATCTGTGTGTCTTGTCTCGAAGATGATAATGAATGCATGGTGTATGTGTCTTATATAGTCGCTTGGGCAAGACCGCTGTAAATAGTGATGGGGAGGAAATGCACCAAAAAGTGTGCTGCTCGCGCAAATTTCTTTTTGTGCTAAATTAAGGCTATGTTCACACTATACCGGATCACTTTAGCACCGCCACGTCAATTATACCGGATAGGGCTTCTGTTCGCACATAAGATTGGTTGTGGGGGCGCGATTTCTGTGACGTAGCGAAGCTGCGCCGCGCCGCGCCGCGCCACGCCGATCTCGAGAGCGGGACGTCACGTATTTGATAGGCTTTGTGCACTACTTTGTTGCGGTGTGAACACCTATTCGGCCCGTTGCGGAAGTAGGAGTGAGGACTGGAATCCTTTGAGACGGAAGTAAATATAGTTCAAGAGTAAGGATTGGAATTTAGTGCACCAAACCCTCTCGGCCAACCGCGCCGGTATGATGTTCGATGTGTGTGAACGACTTGCGCCGCCCCGGGCCCTTGCTGTTCACACTATGCCAGATAGCTTTTCGTGGCGGCACGAAAACCTGTCCGGTATAATGTGAAATAATAGCCTTTAGTAAAATCCAACTAGTGGTGTATTATCAATGCTGCGTTCTGATTGGTTGAGCTACTACTAGGCTATATGTTATAGCCCACTAGTAGCGAAAAGCACCGGCTTTTTGGCGGCAAAAAAGGATTAAAGTCTAGCTTTAACTAGCTAAAGTTGTTTTTTTCTCGATATCTTTGACCAAATAGTTAGATTTTACTAAAACAATTATTCCCCTCGCCCTCATGGCCTCTGTTCGGCCTCATGGGCTATTGCCTCAGAGCCCGTTCGGGCTCGAGGAATAATTGTTAGAAACCTATTGCTTTTCTGACTCTTTTGATTTGACATCTGAAACTCCCTTATATCAGTAATATCATTAACATGGTGGAACTTTCGTCGTTTGTTTTGCAGTACCATTTGTACACAGCCCTCCCTGGTGAGTTTGTTGGTGTACTCGCAGTGGTAACTGGGGAACCTTCCTTTTTTAATGTTAAAGCGACTAAACAGTGCCACGTGGTGATCATCAGTAAAGCTAACTTCTACAGGTGGGTACTTAATAATCGAATATTCCTTTTAAACTTCTAAAACATATATCTAGCTGCGAAACGTGGAGGTATATATCTAGCGCTATGCTACGACTCTGAGGGGGAGAGATGTTTTAGTATTAACCAAATAAGTTTGATTAAAAAAAACGAACATTTAAGTTTACGCTTTTAATTAATAGCAGTGTTTCAGAGATTTGCAGATTGCATTTACACGGCTCTGTCGCAAATCTAGTTAGAAATAATTTTTTACCTACCATTTGACACCGGCTGGATGGGCCAAGTTTCGTCGACTTCGTGTTGGTTTGGTGGCTTCAATTGTCGCTAAAACTTGCGTCTTCCGAAGTGTTCGGGAAACAGGATGTCCGACTGACTCTCCTTTCAAAATAGTGAATAGCCAAGGATATGCCGGGTTATGGGAACCAATCAAAACGCGGAAAACTGTCATCCGCTGGTTTAGTAATACAAATCTTGGATTTGCCTGCGTCGTACAAATGGTTTAGACGAGTGTGTGGGCCGGCTGCAACGCAGGCTAATCTTGGATATTTCGAGAATCTTGAGTGTGATAAGATTGATCGTATCAGAGATCAGGGTTGCTGATCATTTTACACAAACCATGTGGTTAAAAATTTCGTGCATAAACAATTAACGATTGAATTTGAGCGTGCGGGAGAAGGACCCACAACAAAGTTTATCCAAATCAGCTGGCGAGTCTAATAAGAGTAGAAAAACTGCCATCGCCTCCCTCGGAAACCCATATTTTCTGTAGATTCCCAGGGCTGTCACTTTTAAGTTGCCATGTATATGCAATAGGAGGCTAGGAGGTTCTTTTGCTTCTGATTTTTTTTATGTTCCCTATTAGAGAAAACGGAAATCCCGGCCCCCGAATCCGGTCCCAAAAGGAATTGCCAGAACTATTGAATTTTTCCAAATGAGAACTTCTGGTTTCCCCAAGTAAATAAATATAAAGTAACCAAGTGACAACATCGCCTCTCCTTTCGTTACCGTTATATAAATCGCAGCCTATTGCACTGTGAAAAGCTGCAAGTTTGGGAGACTCCTAGAACATCCTACTCCCTCAAATCCCACCGCGATGATTTTCTAACCAACACTTGATTGGTTTCTGTTACTTCCTCTTTTAGAACTTATACTTAGGATCAAGCTGGGCTTTTAAAATTTTTTTTTAAGAGTAAAGTCGGTCCCATCAGACGTGTATTGTTAACCAAGTTTAGAATAGTCAGATTATGTTACTTAAGATTATTGCTTGTTATCGATTGTTATCGATCAATGGATAACAATCGATAATTTCTTCCCCCTGTGAATTCGATTCTAATCGTTTTCAGCTATCGATCGGCAACAATCGGCGAGTGGTGTCGATTGATATCGATTATATCGATTGATTTCCGATATCGCTCTCTATCGATTGATTATTCCTGGGTTCATAACATTATTGTTTCGCACCTCAGTTCATTTGCATGTCGCTTTTTTGTCCCCAATAGATAATAAATGCCTGCTTTGAAGAGCACTTTTTATGTTTAATAGCTCTCCTAATGACCGTGTTTATAATATACCTTTGGTGTAGGCGATGTATCATAGACACTGTTCCCAAATATATCATTATTTTGAGTAACTAAGCAATATGACGCCTGTTACTGAGGGATCAACTAGTTCATTTTCATAATTTTTCAAAGATAACCGTTTTGGGGTGGGGTGGGGGAGGGGGGAATATAATTTTTTGCAGAGATACAATTGGTCGTATTCGAAATTACCTTCCTTCCGATGGATTGAAAATGTTCAGGTGAATTCCCTTGTGATTTCCAGGCTCGACTATTGCAACAGTCTCTTAAATGACATCCCAAAATACCAGAGAGATAAGTTACAAAGAATTCAGAATACCGCAGCTCGAATGATAACAGGAGCCCGCAGCTCTGACCACATTACACCTTTATTAAAGAGCCTGCACTGGCTACCTGTGGAAGCAAGGATTCACTTTAAGATTCTTCTTATCACATATAAGATCTTAAATGGACAATCTGCTGGATATCTGGAACCTCTGATTAAGGATTATCATCCAACAAGAGCTATACAATCGTCATCCCGTTCGCTAGTATGCACCCCAGCCATAAAATCCAAAACATATGGAGGACGCACGTTTTCCACTGCAGCACCTCAGTTATTTATCACTACCCCAGAATATATCAAAAATGCGGACAGTGTTGCTACATTTAAAACAAAACTTAAAACATTTCTATTCAGGAAATGATTCAATTGATAGGATTTCTTAAAGTTTTACAATACTTGATAATTGATTTTCATGCCTAACATTTTAGGATCTTTTAAAATTTTAAAATACTTGATGTATAATGTCACAATTGATTTTCATACTTAACATTTCAGGATGTTTAAAGTTTTACAATCAGCATTTTTAAAGTTTTACAATACTTAATGCATAATGTCACATAGGTTAGAGTCTTTAAATAACTAAATGAAATGATCTTTAATAGGCTTTCATAATGTAAAGCGCATTGGGGACAGAAATGCGCTTAATATGAATCTATATAATTATTACTATTATTATTACTATATATCGTGTCTTATGTAATCTACATCTATCATTATTATCATCATCGTTAATAATAAAAAAATTATTTTTATTAAATATCATTATCATTTCTAGGTAGAGAGTTCTCTGTTTCATTTCTATCTAACCCCTCTTTCCAACCCCTTTCCCCCTTCCCCCCCTGCCCCCATCTTCCACAATATCATGAGACACAGACACAGCATGGAGCTGTGTGACTAACAGGGAAATTATTAATGATACATAGGCAACTTACTGGGAGTCAAATTTTCATAAGAAAATTGCTATTTATATATTTTGGAAATAAGGCGATACAGCATTTTAATTTTTTTTATTCTTCATCTTCTGGGGCGTCTTATGATCGTTTATTTAAGTAAGGTACTCCGGAAGCTGCAGCGAAATTAAACAGCAGGTTTAATTTTTTTTGCTCATCAAATGCGTAGTTGTTTTATTAATCTATACTGAAAAGATTAATTTCCCGCTCCGGAAACGTCGTAGAAAAGCAGTGTTAAAAGTACGGCTCCAGGGTATATTCATTTATTCAAAGAAATATTTTGATGTCATCGCGACGTGCTTTCGGCTCTGTGATCTTATCTGTCATTTGATGTTTCAACGTCATATATTGTAAAGTGCTACTTACTCATTCGTGTGTCTTTAAAAAAGATTGCTGAAACAGTCTTTCTGTACCAAATGCCAGAAAGAGTGCTCCTGAAGGCAACACATTTTCACCTTGCACCCATGAACAACCTTCATTGGAACCGTTTATTAAGAATTTGCGCGGGTGGTTTTAAAATAATAATAATAAAATAAATTTAAAATTACCTTAACAATAAAAAATATCTATACACGTATACTTGGAAATGTAAAAAAAAGGCGTCTTTATCCATTAAGACCAATGGAATACATATATTATTCAACCTGTCATGATTCCGTTTATGAAACTAGTAAACTGTGTGTAATTGGAAATTTCACCAAGGTTACCGTTTATGAAATAGGCAGTGATGTGTTGTTTGGCATTGTCGTTAATTTGTTTGGGTGGATAAAAACGTACAGCTGTTGCAAACTATAACAAATAACTACTATTACTACTATAACTATAACTACTACTTGTTATTTGTTGGCGTTCTAAGAATATAGCAGCAAATTATTGTTTTCACGGTTCCAGCTTATTGACAGCTGTCACGGAGACTCAAGTGTAAAAGGGCGGGATTTTACTGAGGTGATCATTCTAAGCTGACATCGCTCCCTGAGTTTCGTTTGTCAATTCTTTTTTCGTTTTGCGTCATTTGAATTGATTGTAGTTCGTCGTTGAGTGTACTCATATTTTTGTATTCTAGTTCAACCTATCTCCCTCGAGGTTCCTGTTAAGTGTCTGGCTCTGCTTTCGGGAGGGTTCTGGTTTCCTCCTTAGTTAAGGGGGTTTTCCTGACGGGCAGCAGACACGATATCATCTTTATTACATTATCGATCAAAGAACTTTACTTGGCACTAGTTAAATTTTTCCTGCTTCACTTCCTTTGCAGTACGTAAGTGTTTGTATTTGTATAAATAAACGGTGACTAATGTTCGCATTACGCTCGGCTTCTATCCAGTGCAGCAGTCAGTTTTCCTATTTAACACGAAATGATTTCATTGTTTTTTCACTGTTCACCGGTTCAACAATGGGGAATAGGGAAAACTATTTTATCAGTTAAACATAGCTTTCAGATGTTTCAAGCTGCTTGTGATTAAATGCTTGTTTCATGATCTTTCCGAAGACTATTTTTCTCAAGACAGACCTCGATTTAGAAGCTTGGAAGCCCAGAGCTACCAAGCTTCCCAAGGTTTCCTTGAGTTTCTCCTATTGTAGAAAGGGTAAATTTGGTCCTTTTTTTTATCAGTTTTGAATGTCGCTGCTTTTAGTCGTGGGCCATTAAACTCGTTTTTGTTTAGGGAACGGGCATCGGCTTTTTCCAAACACTTTCTTCATTTCCTTCTTGAACGCGTTATTTCGTAGCGAATATAACCATGGGTTTATCCCAGACGATCCGAAAGCAACAAGCTCAACCCAAAGCCAAACCAAACGCATTCGTTGCTTTCTGCAGTGGTCCTTCGTCGTCTGGTTGACAAAAGATGTCACCAGGGAGGGAAACCATGAAACAAAAAACAGCGCTACGATAAGACCCGCAGTCCTGGTAGCTCTTAGGTTTCGAGCTCTTTCAGCAACAAGCTGAGATCCATGCCTTTGAGCGCTTAGACGTGCGATATTTCTCGACTGTTTTCTCGCTTGCCCAAGGATAAATGAGTAGAAGAGAAAAATCAAGACCATTGGGAGAAGAAATGTAATTACCGTGACACACATCCAGAGCGTTGGCAAGTTATTAGGGTTCTTGATCATGACCCGAGCCATGCCAAATACAATGGATACAATCCATACAAGCGATATAGCAAAGTAACAACGCGTTTGTGTGACAATCTGGCTGTATGACAGGGAAAAACGAACTGCGATGTACCTATCCAAGCTCACCACACACAAGCTAAAAGTTGTGGTTACACTTGTCTGTATCCATAAAAAATCGATGACTATTCTGAACGGGTGATCAACCGGACGAGGCGATAATACACACCGAGCTATCCACACTGGGTCAATCACCAGTCCTACTAAGAGATCCGCCAGTGCTAATGAGCTCAGCAGCACGTTGGCAGCGGTTCTGATAGCGCGAGATTTGTGCATGACCCAGAGAAAAGCTGCATTGCCAAGGATGGCTGGTAGGGAAGCAATTCCATACAACACGGCCAGGCTCACGGACGAGGAAAGTGATATATCTCTACTACAATGGTTTGCCATCTTTGAAGTTGACTCTAAGCGTCACATAAGTACAAAGTTGCTTTTCCCCACATTGACGTTCAATAAGGATGCGTGATATGTATTCGGAGGGAGTGTTTAAGTAGTTTTTAAAATGCCCCTGAGGCAAACTTTGCACTGATCACCTATGCTCTCTCTAGATCCCAGAACCGCAAGTGTTACATCACCCCTAGAATCAATTTCATTCTAAAATTCTCGAGTTAAATACATGCACCGAAGCCCTTGCTATCGCTCTACATTGTTTAAAAAGATGTTTTTTTTGCATGATGCCGTCTTCACAACAATTAAAATTTTATGCAAATGACTTTAACTTTGACATTGTTGACTTCTATCGGGAGGTCTGATGTTTAATTTTTCAAGGACAATAAATCCAGCCCATCACTGTGGATTTCAAATTTCGTAATATAACAAAAGATTTCCAAGAATAGATCAACTGGAGACTGGAGAATAATTGGGGGAAACTAAATTCCCATACAAAGAATATTCTCTAATATTAAACATACTAAAAACTAAGAAGTAAAATTTAAATGCGGCCCAAAACTAACCTAATTAAATTGCATGCTAAAATTGACGCTAAAATAAGAAGCAAACTTTAAATACGGCCCAAAACTAACCTAATTAAATTGCATACTTGTCACTCACGAGTTACACCTGATTTAAGATTGACATAAATGATCCAATAGATAGGACTTAGAACTGCTTAATGAAGGTGCGTGCATAATGTTCGATAGAATCGTATTCCAGTCTGTTATGTAGCGATTGAAAAATGAAAATTTAAAGTAATTTGTACGTGTCTTCTTGGGTCTTATGTTAAAATTATGGTTCCTACGCGTTTTTGCTAATACATTAAAATCAAGGAACATATGAGGATCTATGCCACAGTGTCCGAGAATAATCTTGTACATCTGCACTAAGCAGATAAACGTTCTTCGTAACTCAAGCGAAGGCCATTTCAGGACCCCAAGTCTCGATCTCCTGATATTCTTTCTCTGATCCGCAAATGACTCGAGTGGCTCGCCTCTGTATTGACCCTATACTTTTGATGTGCTTCACTAAATACTGATTCCAGACCTGAGAACCATATTCCAAAATAGGACGCACTAATGTCTTATATGCTGTCGAGACTCCTTCAGAATTGTTTGGACCAAGGGCTCGCCTTACTAAGCCTAGAACCTTATTAGCTTTAGCACAGTATAGTTTATATCGTAATCCCAAGACAGGGAAGACTCCAGCAAGACACCAAGGTGTTGTGGTGATCTACTGCTGATAAGGGTTTGTCAGACAACCAGTACTCATGATGATATGGATCCTTGGATCTCGGTAGGTGTAGGACCTTGGACTTTTCGGACTTCAGAGTAACAAGCCAGGAGTTACACCAGTCATAGGCACTTTGGAGGTCAGTTTGAAGATCTTCACTATCCGACTCTGAAGTAACTTTCCTATAAAGAGTCAACAAAGAGTCCACAGTTACACTTAACTGCTAAAGGAAAGTCATTAATATAAACAAGAAAGAGCAAGAGGCCCAAAATACTGCCTTGAGGCACGCCAGATGTTACCTCAGACCAGTCGGAAGAATGGCCATCAATTACTACTCTTTGTCTTCATGTAGTCATGGTCATGATGGTGATGAAACAGAATGATTTTAGAAGGAGAAATTAAACATCGCGCAGAATCGCTATTGTTCTCGGGACATTTACTTACAAGATGCGAATGAGTCAGTCGCTGCAGATGCTTCTTCTCGTGTTTGTCTGTGCTGTTGTGGTAGACTTTGCAAGGGTAACAGAGGATTGAAGATGCATCAAAGGAGTTGTAGAGTTGTTTTGGGTTTCAATGATCAACTGCGTGCTGACCTCAACGATGCCATACTCACCGACCGAGAATCTGGCGATGTAGGTGATCCTTTGATGGCCTCCGGTGTCCCTTCCCCTCAACCTGAAGACCACTGCTTTCCCAAAATTAAAAAGGGAATAAACCTACCTAAATCTGAAGAACAATGGTTAACGGCCAACGAATATTTTAAATCCGTATTATCTCTAAATCCTCCAATCACTGTTCAGAATGTCAGCTCACGTGTTAAACTTCTGAACGACACTGTTTATGACTCTTTCTCTGCTAATTTTGGTCAAGTTGGACAAGCTCCTGATGCAACAGGGGCACCCAACGACAATTTTCGGGAAAATATCTGTTCGGAAGACGATTTGAGATCTAGAATTTTCGGAGCATTTGTTGTAAAATTTCTTGCTTGCCTGCCTCTCCTAGGATTTTCGAACATCTACAAAATGGTATAATTACCCATTTTTAACGGATTTTGACCCTAAAAAAGGCCACCTAGAATTTTCGGGAGCCTTTTCCTGGCTGAAATTTTCGAGAGGGAAAATTTTTATCCCTATAATTTTCGGATCACTAGACTTCCAGCTAGGAAATCCGAACAGATGAAAAGTTTGTAGGGGATAAAAATATGCCTATATCTACCGTTTGAATACTAAAATACGTTCAACAATGCTATGTTAAGTGGTTTTGAACCATATCCTCGTTGGGTGCCCCTGATGAAAGCCTGATAAGGAAATACGAAGGCAAATCTAAAAATGGCCTGAAGAAATCTCTCAAAGTCTTGAAGCAGTCCGCTAACGCTGACATCACAGAAATCAATACGTATCTCGCCTATTGCGTGACATACTACGAGACAACACGTCGTTTCAAGTCAACGCTGACCTGATGAATCGTGATTATTCCATCTCTAAAAATTTCAGGGGATATGTCAAAAGGATCTTCAACAAAAAAGATGAAATCCTCCCTTCGTTTTCCATGAATGAGTGTTTTGATTACTTTGCAATTATTAGAACTCTTTCGTCAGTAAATCCGACTAAAGTTTTCAACCTTCCAAGCTGGATACCAACTTTATCAGATCCTGTAATTCCGTTTAACCTTGAACCTCCCAACATACCAACAGACCTCAAATGTGATTAGAAAAATGAAGGCGTCTGGTTCTCCTTGTCCCCTAGATCAACTGTCGATAATTTGCTTCAAACGATGTCCTTTTCTTCGCACCTATTTATCTGAAATTATACGCACAGCTTGGTCAACTGGATCCGTCCCAAACGAATGGAAGCGAGCCTTCACAATCCTCATCCATAAAAAGGAAAACGCTAATGACCCTGCTAACTTCCGTCCTATTACTTTACAATCTGTGCCTTTAAAGATTTTTACCTCGTGTCTTCGTAATGCCATTTTCAACTTCCTCTCCGCTAACAACTACGTTGAACATGAAATTCAAAAAGGATTTACATCAGGTCTTTGTGGAACTTTTGAGCACACTGCTCAAATGGCTGATATCGTTACCAAAGCTCGTACCAAACAGCGTTCACTCGTCATTACTCTTTTGGACCTTAAAAACGCCTTTGGTGAAGTTCATCACAACTTGATTCAAACCGCTCTTGATTATCACCACATTCCCGATCATATCAAATCACTGGTGAAAAGTCTTCACACTGACTTCAAAACCTCTATTCGTACTCCGTTTATATCTGTTGGTCATGGTGTACTCCAAGGTGATTGCCTTAGCCCACTTCTCTTCAACTTGTGTTTTAACACGTTTCTACAGCAAATTAAATCTGAAAAATACCGTCGATTTGGCTTTTCCCTCAAGTTCTTAAATCCCATCCACTGGTTCCAGTTCGCTGACGATGCCGCTTTCATAAGCGGTCAGGAATCAGAAAATCAACATCTAATCAAGCGCTTTATAATTAGCCTGCGTGGCAGGCGTTCGAAAGGGAAGAGGAAGAGAATTAGGGCGCGCCCCTCGCGTTTCTCTCGCGCCTAAAACTCCCTTTCCCAAAACTCCCTTTCCCTTCCCTTTCAAACGCCTGCCTCGCAGGCTACTTTATAATATAGATTTATAATCTGGTGTAATTGGTCGAACATGATAATAAGAGTTGATAAATGTTCTACTTTTGGAATACGGAAACTGTGCACTAAATCTGTCCAATATTTACCCAAACTATTGATCAATGGAGTTCTAATTCCTTGTGTGGAAATGGGTGAATCATTTCGTTACTTAGGTCGCTTCTTTGACTTCAACATGTGTAACAACCAACACGTCTGAATTGTCCTCTCTTGTACAAGACTTGATGAATGGCATTGATATAAAGCCACTGCATCCTAAACACAAACTTCTTCTGTACATCCGCTATGTCCTATCTAAACTGTCCTGGCATTTCACTATAGCTAATATATCCAAAACCTGGATAACGGAACATCTCGACTCTTTAGTGAATGGCTATATTCGAAAATGGCTTGATATTCCGATATCTGGAACACTGAGCAATGTTTTCCTAGAACGCAATAAATTTGGTCTTAATATCTATTAAATTTACTCAGTGCTAAACAGTGCTACGAAATTCATTAAAAGAGTCACCAAATGTTTCCTTAAAAGATCTCTGGAAATCGTCAAGCTGTCACACTAATATTCGATATGATGTGTACAAATCCACTAAATAAGGAAGTTCTTAAAGATTTCCGTTCTAATCGAGAGGATAAACTGCAACACCACCTAACATCTCAAGGTTTCTTCTTCTCAAATTTTATCAAGTATTCATTGTCATCTGTAAATTCTATTTGGTCAGAGGCCCAGTTTCATCTACCCATGAACATTTATAATTTTACCGTCCGCTACATCAACAACTCCCTCCCTACACGTAAGAATATGGCAAGATGGGGATTATCACAAAGTCCTGATTGCTCCTTTGCCTTAATCCTGAATCACTCCCTCATGTTGTCGCTGGTTGTCAACAGTACCTTAATCGCTTTACCTGGAGACACGACTCAATCCTTAACTTCATTGCCAAATCACTTCAACCTGTAATTAATGTTCACTCTTCACTCTATGCAGATGTCAATGGTTTTCTGAATCCCTCAATAATAACTGGTGAAAGTTATCGTTTTACAGATGTGTGAGATTTGTAAATCTCTCCATGAGCTCTCTTGGCGTTTTCTCCGATGAATGCCCCACGTTCTTAGACATGATGAATGACATTGGCATTGACAAAAAGCAGCAACTTTATATAATCAAGAAAATGATAAATTAGCCATTAGAGCAACATATGACATCTTTAGTTGTAGAAACAGGAACTGGGATAGCCCAGACTTAATACAATTTTGATTTCTTTTCTTTCTTTCTTTTTTTTTTTTCTGCTTTTGTTTTGTTTTGTTTTTTTTTTAATAATCCAATCTCAAGCAGCCAATTGTAAATTGCCTATACGTAGCGAGATTTACAATTGTACACTCAAAAACACAAAGAAGGTTTCCATTATTATTATATATCGTGTTTTATGTAATCTATACTAATTTTCGTTTATTTTTGATATTGTTATCATTATTATCATCATTGTTAATAATAAAAAAAATTATTATTATTAAATATCATTATCATTATTACTGCCACTATTACCTTTCTAGGTTTCTAGTTAGAGAGTTCTCTGTCTAACTCCTCTAGACACAGCATGGAGCTGTGTGATTAACAGGGAAATTATTAATGATACATAGGCAACTTACTGGGAGTCAAATTTTCATAAGAAAATTGTTATTTATATATTTTGGACATAAGGCGATACAGCATTTTTATTTTTTTTATTCTTCATCTTCTGGGGCGTCTTATGATCGTTTATTTAAGTAAGGTACTCCGGCAGCTGCAGCGAAATTAAACAGCAGGTTTAATTTTTTTGCTCGTCAAATGCGGTAATTGTTTTATTAATCTATACTGAAAAGATTAATTTCCTGCTCCGGAAACGTAGTAGAAAAGCAGTATTAAAAGTACTGCTCCAGGGTGTATTCGTTTATTCAAAGAAATATTTTGATGTCATCACAACGTGCTTTCGGCTCTGTAATCTTATCTGTCATATGACGTTTGAACGTCATATATTGTAAAGTGCTATTTACTCATTCGTGTGTCTTTAAAATAGATTGCTGAAACAGTCTTTTTGTACCAAATGCTCCTGAAGGCAACACATTTTCACCTTTCATCCATGAACAACCTTGTTTGGAACCTTTTGTTAAGAATTTGTGCGGGTGGTTTAAAATAATAATAATAAAATAAATTAAAAATTACATTAACAATAACAAAATATCTATACATGTAAACATGGAAATTTAAAAAAGTCGCCTTTATCCATTAAGACCAATGAAACACATATGTTATTCAACCTGCCATGATTCCCATTCTGAAACAAGTAAACTGTGTAAAGGTTTGTTTAATTGGAAATTTCATCAAGGTTACCGTTTATATAGGCAGTGATCTGTCGTTTGGCATTGTCGTTAATTTGTTTGGGTGGATAAAAACTTACAGCTGTTGCAAACTATAACAAATAATTATCCTCCTTAGATTGAGCGGCTCCTAAAATGAAATAAAATAAACTATTTTATGAGTTAAACATGGCTGTCAGATTTTTCAAGCTGCTTGTGATTAAATGCTTGTTTCATGGTCGCTCGGAAGAGAACGTTTCTCGAGGTAGACCTTTAAACACTCTTCTTAGTCCCGATTTAGAAACTTAGAAGCTCAGAGCTACTAAGCTTCTCAAAGTTTCCTGAAGTTGCTCTTATAGTATACAGGATTAAGTTCGTCCTTTTTATTGCTCAGTTTTGAATGTCGCCACTTTTGATCGTAGCCGATTGAACTCATATTTGTTTGGTGGTCGAGCATCAGCTTTTTCCAAACACTTTCTTCATTTCCATCTTGAACGCGTTATTTCGTAGCGAATATAACCATGGGTTTATCCCAGACGATGCGAAAGCAACAAGCTCAACCCAAAGCCAAACCAAACGCATTCGTTGCTTTGTGCAGTGGTCGTTCGTCGTCAGGTTGACAAAAGATGTCACCAAGGAGGGAAACCATGAAACAAAAAACAGCGCTACGATAAGACCCGCAGTCTTAGTAGCTTTTCGGTTTCGAGCTCTTTCAGCAGCAAGCTGAGCTCCATGTCTTTCAGCGCTTAGATGTGTGATATTTCTCGACTGTTTTCTTGCTTGCCCAAGGATAAATGAGTAGAAGAGAAAAATGAGCACCATCGGCAGAAGAAATGTAATTACCGTGACACACATCCAGAGCGTTGGAAAGTTTTTTGGGTTCTTGATCATGACCCGAGCCATGCCAAATACAATGGATACAATCCATACAAGCGCTATAGCAAAGTAACAACGCGTTTGTGTGACAATCTGGCTGTATGACAGGGAAAAACGAACTGCGATGTACCTATCCAAGCTCACCACGCACAAGCTAAAAGTTGTGGTTACACTTGTTTGTATCCATAAAAAATCGATGACTATTTTGAACGGATGATCAAACGGACGAGGCGATAATACACACCGAGCTATCCACACTGGGTTAATAACCAGTCCTACTAAGAGATCCGCCAGTGTTAACGAGCTCAGCAGCACGTTGGCAGCGGTTCTGATGGCGCGGGATTTGTGCATGACCCAGAGAAAAGCTGTATTGCCAAGGATGGCTGGCAGGGAAGCAACGCCATACAACACGGCCAGGCTCACGGACGAGGAAAGTGATATATCTCGACTACAATGGTTTGCCATCTTTGAAGTTGACCCTAAGCGTCACATAAGTACAAAGTTGCTTTTCTTCACATTTACGTTCACTTAAGATGCGTGATATGCATTCGGAGGGAGTGTCTAAGTAGTTTTTAAAGTGCCCTTAAGGCAGACTTTGCGCTGATCACCTATACTCACTTTAGATCCCAGAACCTAGAGTGCTATATCACCTCCAGAATCAATTACCTTCTAAGATTCTCGAGTTAATTACATGCACTGAAGCCCTCGCTATCCGTCACTCTACATTGTGAAAAGGAGATGGTTTTTGCATGGTGCCGTCTTCACAGCAACTTAAAGTTTATGCAAATAACTTCAACTTTGACATTGTTGACTTCTATCGGGAGGTCTGATCTTTAATTTTTCAAGAACAATAAATCCCGCCCATCACTGTGGATTTCAAATGTCGGAATATAACAGAAGATCTCCAAGAATAAATTAACCCTGTGGTGCAAATATTGATAACTAGCATACGCACACCAGCCCAGCCGTTTGTTTAGATTATTAACATGTCACTAACTTCAAGTGATGCCCCTAAGAAATAATTGTTCTGCCGACTATGGGAGCAGCTGTCGCCTCATCTGCCATCCCTGTAATCTCTGAGTTACTAGAAATGACACATAGCTGATTCAATACTCTAAAATGTCTTCGATTTGTTGTTTCCTTTCGTTTGATTTCGTTTTGTTTTTCTAAGAAAATAATCATTAAAACTGAACATTGACGTGTTCGTCAAAAAAAAAAGTGTCACAGCATTGACTTCCGTAAGGATCCACTCTTGTTCATATTTTTTGATGTAATATATCAAGCATGAGACGCAGTGTTTCTACACCAGGTGAAACACCGATAAAATAGTTGAAAATACGACGCGCAGTGGAGTATTTTTGACGAACTTCGATGGTGATGAAAGAGTGTGTCGAATGCTTGATATTACTTCTCAAACAAAATGATTTTAGAAGGAGAAATTAAGGATGCATAAAATGAGAAGACCAAACACTCTTTAAACATTAATTTGAATTGTTATTAATGAGTTTGAGAAGTCTTTAAGAACGCTTTTTTTGTTGTCATTAAAATCTCCAATTTGAAAATGGGGATAAGAGTGCACAGACGTCTGACATTTTAGCTTAGTCGATTGGGTTTGAGATTATGCGTCCTCCAGAGAGATTTAAAGTCACGTTTACAGAAAACAGCCATCGTCAGATTTAAGTTGAGAAATTCTCAAAATAGAAAAAGAGCAGATAAAAACAGCTCATAGCAAGTCTTCTGAAAAAAACTGGCGTGAATCTACTGATTTCCATGCAGGTATAATGAAAAGTGAACGACAAGTTAAGGGAAGGTTAGTCACGTAATACAATTCCCATTTGCCGTTTGCTGTACACGTGATTCTAAATCTCTATCGTCATCATCTTCATCATCATCATCATCATCATTATCATCATTATTATGATTATTATGGTTATTATTATTAGTAGTACAACTATGGTCACGATAGTTTTGGTATTTTTGGCTATTTTAATTAACCACCAGCTTTACACCTTCATCCAGTTAAAAATAAAAGAAAACAACTTTTTTTTTTTTTAATAGAAGCTGGTCTCTGTTTTTCATATTGCCGGACCTGACCTTAATCTTCCTCAGTGTTGCCCATCCGTGCCCCATTTGCCCTTTCTGTGTTTCTTGTGTTTTCTTCTTCAGTCTGAAGCAATCATTTTAGTATTTCGATCAGATCTGTGTTCGCTTGGTAAACAAGAAATGGTCTAGAATAGTGGTCTAACCCCGTAGAATAGCATGACCTCACTTCTCAGAATGACATGACGTAGCTGCGTAAAATGGCGTGACCCAGTCGATTTGATGGCTTTCCAATGTAAACTGATTGTTCTTTGCTTGCAGTGTGATTCGTCAGAAGCCTCGAGTCGTACTGAATGTCGCGCATTCTCTTATCAGTCACTTGTCTCCTTTCCTGAGACAAATTGACTTTGCCTTGGACTGGATGCACGTCGAGGCTGGCAGGGCAGTTTACAGGTACAGTTTGTGCGAATTCATCATGATGTGCTTGTATTCTCCTTCGTCCTTCTTTAAGCTTTTACCTTTTAGCACTGTTGACGACTACATAGACAAACAGGAATTTCACGCTCGGCCAACCAGTACAGAAGAGGTTTTAAATTTAGAGTAATTAAGTTACACGCGGAAGTAAAACTATGTTGTTCTTGAAAAAAAAATTCTTGTCAAGAAATTGAACGGACATATTCCACGAAAGTTAACAGACAATGTCACGTGAACGCTGTCGGCGGAGAAAAAAACTAGGATAGCGCGAGGCATGCGTGCGGTGTGTTGAACGCGAGTGATGCGAGAAACGAGGGTGGTGCGAGGGAAAGCCAGGAACCGAATCTTTGTTGACGTTGCTTGCTTTGCATTTTAGGCAAGGTGAACAGTCTAACTGTATCTACATTGTGCTTAATGGTCGTCTCCGTTCAGTTGTAACACTGAGTAGTGGTAAAAAGGAACTGGATCGTGAGGCAGGACGAGGAGAACTTATGGGAGTGGTGAGTGCTGGGACCTTGTCACGAACTTGAATGACCGTTTGTTCTAGAGCCTTGGTGTTTATGGAGGGGTTGTGTGTCCTAATAGAAAGGGAATACAAACCGGGTAAGCTCTTTTTACCTCAGAAAAAAAAAAAGAGTAGATGTCAAGCGCTGGGAGGGGGGGGGATGGGGTGGGGTAGGTTATCGCAACCTGAGAAGCGAGAAGGGTACTGGAAAACCGCAAGTGTTTCTGGGATCGTTACTAGGGACGTGCCGGTCAGCTATTGGCCAGTTTTTTCCCTGTTCTTAGTAACACTCCCAGAAGTCTTTGCGAATGGTAACTCGTCCTATGGGTATTATTTTACCCATGGTAACCGGAAGCGGAAGAGAAGAATTGTTAGAGAGGAATGGTCAGTGTTTTTACCTGAGAGGAGATGGTTTAGAGTGTATTCATGGGTGGTCTTTACAAAGACATGATATAGTCGCTGTTTAACACTCGAAGAAGTAAGTAAGCACCCATCTGGAGCTTTTGAATAGTCGTCTTTACACGTTTACCGATCTATTGCTTTCTTAGTGAAATAAAATTTGCGCGATCGGATAACTGAACTTTTAAACAGTTGGTCTGTTTAAGAAGATTTCCTCTTTAGCACGCTTCGTTCTTTTCTATTCAGGTCGAAGTCCTAACCCAAGCTCCAAGAGCAACAACTGTTCACGCCATACGGTTTGTTCATGTCGCTTTTTGCTTGTGTGTTTGTTGCTGTTTTCCTGGGGGAGCAGGAGGGAAGGGAGGAGTTGTTGGGGGCGGAAATGCGATCCTACTTTTCAATAGAGAGTGAAAGCAAGCGGTGTTCAAACTTCTTTCCCCCAATTTCCACCTCAACTGCGTTAAGGCAAAGCCGTGCAATACAGTCGACCAGGCTACGCTGATTGATTCTGTCACTTTTTCTTTCATCGGGGGTCGTATTCGTCGTCCCATTAAAAGGGAGCATCACGCCAGAATACAACTCATAAGCAAGTAGTAAACTCGTCTTTTCACTTAAAATGTTTCGACAGGCCTTAAAATGATTCACCATTTTAACGTAGACCAAAAAGTTTGCATAACGACTGTTTTCAATTTCTCCTACAGTCTTAGTCATAATTGCTGGGACACTTTACTGTCTTCTGGCCCTCCTAATGTTGGTGTTCAAGATTTGGTGAGTTAACTGCGATGAACGACATTGAGAGGAAGAGGAGACTGGCAAGGAGAAAAAACAGCGTTCAGTGGAAGTGTCCCAGCTACTTTTGTCTGAGACTGTTGGTATTACTGTCGTCCCAAGAGAAATCGAAGACAATGATAATGCAAAATTTGGTTGGTGGGAATAAACAAGGTGCATTATAATCTATTTGAAAATGGCGAATGATAATCAAACCTTAGATACTTCATATTTAACACAATTATTTGTAATTTCCCACGACTTCATGTCTGTTTGCGTTTAGCTGAGGATAAAGGCTAGGGGACTCTTCGTAATATCTGTCTTTGAAGGTATCATGAATCCCATTGGCGTGCATTCTCGCACATAAGTCCTACTGCTTCTGTGGTAATAATTGTCTTAAATATATGAGATATCTGTATTAATATAGGGACACTGAGCTGGCGGTTCTTCCGGATGGTCTGCTTAATACAATCAAGAGGCATTTCCCACAGGTGCCCTGTATTTATTATTTATTAATACTGGTAATAATTCGGTCTGTTAACATACGAGTGATGAACAACGCGGGAGCCCGATTTGTTTAATTACGAGTATGATTACAGACTGAATTGGACGACACGAAGTTCTGTTACCATTTCATCATAATTAGTGAAAAATTGTGCTATCTTAAGCTTTCCTAAAATTAAAACGCACGATATTACGAGAATTTTTTTTTTGTTTGCTAGAAGTAAAATAAAAGCTCATCCAAGTGCGCGCGCTATGGCGTGTCGTTCTTCCCGATTACTTAAACATGATGTGTACAGTCCTATTAGTGCTGAAATCAGGACAGTTGATAGCCAATCAGATTTGAGAATTTTGTTGTGGTTATGATTAGAACCATAGTAACAAAACAGGGAAGACAAAAGCGGTGTTAGTTTTCCTGACATTTTAAAAGTCAAGCCGTCCTTGCCGTCCGAAATTTCGGGAAAACTTCTTCCAATGTCTTTACTGTTTTGTCGTTATAGTTCATTCGTCTTGGTTTCAACAACAGGATTTGGATGTCGTCATAATTATTAAATTTCCAGTATTTATACTTTTTCCACTGATTTCTTTTCTTTTAACTTTGTTCATGTCCCTTTCCTTATCATGTTACACAGGTTGTTACTCGTCTAATCCATTTGTTGGGTGAAAGGCTACTGGGTCAATACAGACGAAGTTCCAGAAGAAGCGCAACTTTGCTCGGTAAGCATAGATTTTTTTGTCCGTTTTCGAAACCGCCGAAAACCTCCGTTTCCGTCCGTCCGCACGAAAACCATAAGCCGAATTTTTCAGAAAAAAAACTGCACTCTAGGTACACGAAAACGCCGTTAACATGTGGACGGAAGGCGAACACGAAGAAGAAAAACTTCCGGTTTAAAAAAATGCTTGGATACGTGTCGACGGGGCCTCAGTTATATTCCTGAAATCCCCTTATTAGGGCTTGTGAGATGCTCTAATCTCTAATACATGATGTACAACTTCCTACCCGTGATAGAGGGGGTAGTATTTCGATGAAGGAAAATAAATAATCACGACGTTCACAAAGAAACAAAACTTGTTGACACAACATTAAAAATCTATTTTTCAAACAAGCGCCAAACCTGAAATGCAAACAATGTTTGTTCCATATAAGCAGGGGTTAACGAATCTGGCCACCTCAAGCTGTCTTCACAGTTCCACTGATACCAGCGGATCTCCACCCTGTCTAGAACATCTGGAGTGTACCAAGAAATTAAGGTCGCGGAAACTAACTTTACGACGTTCTTCTTAAATAATGGTGTGGAAATCAAGATTTGCAAAAAATGAACGCAAATTTAGATACCCGTGTTCATTTCATGAAGCGTGGACTTCTTAAAATAAGCTATATCGTCTCTGACGTAACCTTTTTTGTTGTTGCTCAGAAAATCACCTACCGGTTGATAATCAGATATTTGGAGGATCAAATCTCGGCACAGTCGCCATCATCCCTGCCTCTGAAGATGTACCCATATCTAATTTCTCATTTGAACTTAGCTTAGCGCTTCACTCAATAGGTAAGTGCTAAGTAAAGAGAAAACACTTCCTAAATATCCACAAAGAGTTTACCTTGGCTACCAGAGGTTTCTTTCTCGTGTGCGGTGGGTTGCTCCGGTGTCTGTCGCAGGTCGACAAATCTTCGGCCGAAGGCCGAATCCACTAGCGGTGAGCGGGTCATTATAAAAGAGAGATTAAGATTCACGTTTACCGCAAACAGCAAACGTCATACTCAAGTTGAGAATTTCTCAGAATAGAAAATAAGGAGATAAAAACAGTCCCGAACGATTCCTATGGTTAAAACTGGCATAAAACTACTTATTTTTATGTAGAAGCAATAAAGAGGAAACGGAAAATACGGGGAAAACTTGGTGACGTGGTACAAATTCACGTCTGTTGTTTGGCGTAAACGCGAATCTTAATCTCTCTAAAGACTTGATCGAAACCTCACATGAAAAGTCTTTGGCACCCAAGGTACAAAGATTGTGTTGATGAAAAAGTAAAGGTTACATGACGTAGCTGTTTATTCCTTAGCCAACATTGACGTGAGCAGTGTACTACTTGAATGTTGGAGTTTAGTTTTGGATTTAGTTTTGAATGTTGGAGACTTGGAGTTTAGTTTTTCGTTTCCTTTTCGTCATAGGTCCTACTCTTTTGCTAACCAGCTCGTTGGTCCGAAGTAGGCTTGGTAGCTCAGCATTAGACAGGTTTGTGATTCATGTTCATGCATAGATATGTCTCCCGAGAACAGCAATTGTGGAGGGTTTTTTGCGTTGCGTAGCAGTTGTGCTATGATTGAGTTCATTATTCCTTACCTTTCAAGCTATAATACTTTAGCTAATTATGCTGTGGAGTGGATATGACGGGTTTTAGAGTCTTTTCAATCTCTTGTAGTACGCTGTTTGAGTATGGGAACATTTCAGCGCCAACAGAATATCACATTACGCAAGCAAACAAAACAGAATAGGCCTTTAGTGATACCTAAATTTAGTGTCATAAGAATTCTTCCCAACACATGCATCTTTTTGCGGAATGAAGTTTTTTTTAACCGACTACCTTTCTTTCTATTGATAGCATAAACGAATACCGTCTGTCGAGCTGGTTAGGGCAACAAGAAGATCTCCACCGTATAGTTCTGTATCAGGCTGACACCTTCATGTCTGCTTGGACGAAACGCTGCATCAGGCAGGTGTGTGTAGAATATCGCTTTTTTTACTTGAAAATATAAAAAGTAACCCCTTTTATAGTAAAGTGCACTTAGGTGCTCTTTCTTCAGGCACTTCACTAAAAAAATCGCGAACAAATGATAATAGGAAATAACATGGTTAAAAACTCCAACTGGCAGAAGACAACCAGTTGCTATTTAAAAACACGGACAAGGGCTGTAACTCGAGACTGCCTAGAAATTGAATGTTGTAGTTTACGTTTCGGGATTCAGTCACCCTGTCACTCGTTAACTTCGTTGGATGGGTAGGGTAGAGGGATAAGGGGGTTTTGAGTGTACCTTAGTTTCTGACATTTGACAGTACAACAGGTGAATAAGTTTAGGTAAAAGTCGCTGTTACAAGCTGACAATATCCCAAAAGTGAACAGGCAATTATCCGTCGTGTGATCACGACAAAAATATTCTTCAGAGAAAGGCTAGCAGGTGTACCGTAACGTAACTTGCATGGGCAGTGTTGTAGTCAAAGTACTCATTGGACTGTTGCCTTTATTCTGTAGGCGGATAGCATTGTTATAGTCGGTGTGGCAGACGGCAGTCCCACAGTAGGACAGGTAATTTTTTAGTCTATTGTAATACTTTGATTTTGTACTTATTTAAAAGTGGCTATGATATCATGGTAATTCGGAATAATTGTGTCAAAAGGTTTAAGGTAAAGCAAAGGTAAAGCAGTCATATTTACGTCGATAACCCGTGACAGTAATGCAAACAATGAAAGTAAGGTCGACGATGCGCTCAAAGCAAAAGACATCCCGCATTAGTACTTATTTCAGGGTTTCATATTTTCAAATGTGTTTTAAAAGTGTTGAATGAGTTCCAAATAATCATGACGTAGATCTTTCAGACAACCTTCCCAGGTGGAAGAAGTTTGTTGCAATTTTCCCAGGGTCCCAATTTTGTCTGAGGTAGTAAAGTTATGTATCTGCTGGTGTTGACGCGAGGTTTGATTGACTGCTGTACTTTTTACGTCGTAATCATATCATAAACGTCGTCGTTGTTTTTATTCATCGTCATTTAGCTTGAGATGCAACTGGAGAACATTGGCGTGCGTTCCCAGAAGGAACTCATCCTCCTTCACCGCGAGGACCCCTCCAAGGGCTTCCGTACTTCGCATACTGTTGACTGGCTCAACGCGCGGGGCTGGATTTGCGCGCATCACCATGTGAGTTTAACAATTCCTTTAGCCTTTTTTTGCCGCTATCCCTGCATTGTTGACACCTGACACCCCTTACCTGTCTAAAGGAGTGTCTATTCGCACGAATTGTTTGTGTTACGTCAGTTATTTGCTGTCCTCATGAAGCCCTTCGAAACCTATGGTTTAATAGACCTTTTTACGGATACGGACCCCAGGGGGCATGAGCACATTTCGTTTGTATTTTCGAGCGCTTTTCGGGACATTTTTTCTTAAAGTTTTCTTAGAATAAGATTGTAATGGGAAAAAAGATCCTTGTGCCGTGTTTGGATGTAATAATGATCGCCTTTTCTAGTTTAGTATTAGAAATATGGTCTTTCACTGTATATTTCTTGGGAAAAAGGCGATCATTATTACATCCATTGAGTTGCGAAATGTAATATGTAATATGATTTTTCTTTCTTTTTTTCTTTTTTTTTTGAGATAAATTTAAGTATAGAATTCAACTATTTCAGTTTTCTTTTCAATCCTGTTTCATCCCAGGTCCGATGCCCAAAGAAAATTTTTGGCAGACGTCTTTTGTCTGAAAAGGTATGAAGTCAAGAGTTGCCACATATGTTGTGTAGTCGTTTTATGAAGTCAGGATTCACGACTTTAAAAAAACTGAATCGAGTTAACTTTCGCAAAGACTTCTGGTACTGTTTGTAGGATCAGGGGATAAAACCGGTCAATAGCTGGCCGGCGCGTCCCCAGTAACCATCCCAGAAACAATTGCGGGATGCATTTCGGCACCAAGTTGCCTTCTCGGTTCTAAATTGACTGATTGAATTGACTGAATTTTGCATTCTTTTCATTATTATTATTATTCACTGTCTGTGTGGTGTATTTTTTTAACGAACCCTTCTATTGTGCTGCAGTATGCTCACGATCCAGCCAGTTACCCTCTGCCCAACAGGTGATTAAAGCATTGTTATCTACGTAATGATTGTTGTTGGTCGCTTTTATAGTTGACTTCATTATTATAGCTATATGGTTAATTGCTAGGAACTTTGATATTTCACCGCAGTCAAACGAGCGAAACATTTGGAAAAGCTAATCAAAATTCTTTGAAACTAAGGTTCTTGGTTTCACCGTTTAGAGTTTGATATCTTACCAATTCGTCTTACTTACTGAACGTTTCGAAGGTGTTTTTGAAAGGTTCTGAGTGTTTGAAGACTGTTAGACTGTTCACAGTCCCCTGTTTTTTCGTAAGATTGTCAGGATTGAGCGCTTACCGGAAAGGGGCGCCAATTTTGGTTTCATATATACCGAGGGGGTGGGCGTCTGGGTTTACAGCAAGATTTGACACTCATCCAAGATAGCCACCCGTAACCAAAGTCTTCGATCTCGACGATCTTACGGGAAAATAGAGGACTGTGAACAGTCTAGAAAACTGTCGGCTCCATTTGTCGACATAATTTATTGTACTCAGGCGCGAATCATTTTAAACGAAAAGAAGCTTATCATTATCAGGAAAATGCAAAGATAATTAGGTTAGGTATGTCTTTTATACATCCTCGCCCATTTTTCCCCTTAATATTAAATGAAATCACATTAAAAGGAACATTAGAATGGGAACAAACGTTTGAGCACGATGAAGGTTGTAAAGTTAAAAGGGTAAACGCTATTTGAGAAAAAACAGTTCGCACTCTTTCCAGATAATTTAAAACTGTTTCATTATGTTAAGTCTGTCTTATGTGATGGAAGTATTCATGATGTAAATTCGAGGAACGATTTTGATGCTAAAAAAAATAGAAAATAACCGTCGGGTTAAATAGGCTGATGTATTTCGATAGTTGCTAACTAAAGTTTGACTCTTTGAACTGCATAGAAACTCAGATTTTTCACGCCTTGCTCGAAGACTAACCGGAACGTCCATTGGATTGGTTCTTGGAGGCGGAGGCGCAAGGTATGTGAGGAGTTCACTCTTTCAGTCTGAAGAGTTAGAAGTTGACTGTTTTCACAGTCAATTAGCTTGGAACTCCGTCATAAGGAATTACCAAAGGACTGTGGGAAGTGTAATCGTGATTAGTAACGGTTTATGGGCGTTCCATACACTTGGCTCTTTATAAAACAGGCGCCCATTACATCGGGATTATTCGTTAAGTCAAAAAGATAAAAGATATTCACATTGAGAGTAATCGTGAATATCCCTCCCCGTCCCTTCCCCAGATTACAATTTTGGAAACCTAATTACAGTTGAACCTCCCTCGGCCGACCACCCAAAACTTGATTGTCGTTTACAAGAGTCGTACCACATGAGTCTATCCTGGGGCCACAACAAGTTGGTGGCAGATAAGAATTCCACTTTATTTGTTTTCTGTTTGATTTTAGAGGGTTGTCTCACGTTGGGGTCATCAAAGCTCTGGAAGAAGCAGGTTGGATATTGTTTGTTTATTTTTTATTTGTTTTGTCTTTATCTTTGTGTGTTTGTTTGTTTGTTCTTGATTGATGAATGTAAGAGATGAGCTCCTGGTGGGATTGTGTTGACGTCTCTATTATTTCTTCTTGAAATTCATTTTAGACCCTGAAAAAGTCCATGGAAAAATTTCATTTGCCCAAGCTGCTCTTGAATCATGTTCTTAATAACTTGTTTTTTAACCCTTTAAGCCCCAATATCCACCAGCAAATTCTCCAAACTGATCTCTATACATTTCTTTAAAGAATAAGTTTGAATTTGAGAAAAGATCAAAGTATTTTCTCTTTGGTGATCATTTAATTAATTCTCATAACCTAATCTCTTGACATTGTGTGGATATCGTTAGGAGAAAATTGACGTTGGTCACTATGGGGACTTAAAGGGTTAAAGCGTAACTGAGAGTGGAGAAACAAGCCCCTTAAGACTTATAACTGTATAAGTATTTATAACGGTCCTGAAAGCCGTTGTAATATTCCGAGACTTCCACTCAACTAAACAGGGACTATCACTGATTATTTGTTTCTCACGTGGCCTTGACTAAATTTAAATGTATCCCGGTCATACATCAGCATTGTACCCCGTTTGGGAAAAACAGTAGCACGTGATCAAAGCATGGGTGATATTGCCGTGACAGAAAGCGGGATAAACACCTTGTTTCGGGAAACATCGGCACATTCGGGAAAACAAAACTATGTGTTTCCCTGACATTAAGTGTATATTGATTCTACTTATTCCATCACCATTTTCTGTCAGGTATCCCTATTGACATGGTTGGTGGCACCAGCATGGGCTCCTTTGTTGGCGCAGCCTACGCAGAGTCTGGTGACGTCAACAAGATGTGTCAGAAAGTCCGCGAGTGGTCAATGGTAAGAATGCTTGTTTGTCCTATTTTCCCGAGATTCCTGCAAAATTTCCTTTGGCATAAAATGTCCCGGTCGCTGTTATTGCTTCTGGCTAGCTAAGTTTGCGGACCCGTGAGCGAAGGCTCGGCAAAAGTGGTGCGCAGGCATTATTCCTTGTTTAAACCAAAACACGTTTAAACAACATGTAAACACGTTTACGCGTTCCTGGTGTGAATAGGACACTGTGCAGGCTGCATTCTACACGAGACGTTACACGGAAAATATGTTTCTTGGAAGAAATTTTATCTGACAGTGTGCGCTGCAAAGGTAATTTAGACGATGACGTCTTTTTACTACTACTAAGACTAGAATTCGTTTCGTTTTTTTCTTTCATATTTGAATTTGGTTATCTCAGTGAGGTTTAAATAACAAAATCCCAAATTTGCACAAGAAAGCAAAACCCTGAAGGATTCTGGTATTAGTAATAAAATGATGTCATCCTGCAAATGGCCTTTTTAACATTCTAGTTGGGTTTAATTGTCACCTTTTGCATAGAGCGCAGGGCATAGATACTCAACACCGAAAAAGATAAATAGTTGGGCTTATGGATGCCAATTGCATCACTGTAACGTACATTCTCTGTAAATTGATTTGCGTCTCTGTTCTTTTCGCTTTGCGTTTGAATTTCCCTATTTGGTTTGATTTCAGGATATGACATCCATTTTTAAGAAGATTCTAGACCTCACTTATCCTTTCACCTCAATGTTTTCCGGTAAGTAAATCTTGCTGTTTCTTTCATTCGTTTTATCATCATCATTGTCGTCATAAGCATCATCGTCATCGTCACCATCATCGATATTTTCCTTAATCGAAATACAACCCCTTCTATCGCGGTTAGTTATTTCTGCATAGGGTATCAGGGATTACTATAGGCCCAAATAATGATAATAACAATGATATTCCTGCTCCTCCTCCTCTTCATCATCATCATCATCATCATCATCATCAACATTTCGTCATCATCAGCATCATCATATTCAGTCCTTAGTTAAGATTTAAAAAATCATGGCTTAATTCTTAAAGGCGTTTATATTGCTGTTTTTCACAGGAAGTGGTTTTAATGCAAGCATAAGAAGCACTTTTGCAGAGCGACCAATTGAGGTTCATTGTTAAACTTGACAATAGTTTACCCGCTAAACTTTTGAAGAAATTTGTGTAAATGCAACTTAATCTTTAATCTCACTTAAATTGCTAAACAGTTTCTTTATAGCTATGACATCGCCTTAGCTGAATACGCCAATTTCCAGCTTGGTGAACTCCGCTAGCCGTACTAATCCTAAATACTTACAAGCTCTGCTGAGAAAGCAACAGAAGTCGTAAAACGATTGGTCTTTTCAGAGGAATTCAATTCCTAATGAGACTATCTTTGAAACTTTAGTAAACTAGATGATAAAGACGCATTTACCCGACAAACAAGATTTCCGGTACATGTCTTTGTTAAAAAACAACTACACCAGCTTTTGAGGAAGAACAGGGTGAGATGAAAGCATGTTGAGTTAGGACCCAGGCAAAAGCCCATAACCGGGGACCAATATACTAGAGGTGTTCAATACCGGAGAGGTTTTAACTGTACTTAACTATTTTTATTTACCATTACCGTGGTAGGATCTTCTGTTGCCTTATTTTTGCATAACGACTGACATCACCTCATCGAGAATGAGAGTTCATACGGACGGTAAGATCAGTTGTTCATTCTAGTTAAGAAGTTACAGGTATCTCATGGTTTCTGTATGTTGGTCAAGTTTATCGTTTATAATCCAAGTTAATCTCCTCCTTCTTAAACCATTTTTTGTCCTTTAGTACAAATAGTTTACTCAAACTCCTTCCCTGTTTTTCTTTCTCATTTAAAAAAACTCATTTTTTTGAAAATCTCTTTTTCTGCAAGGTTTGTCTTCAATTTGCAAAATCGTCACTCCAAATTTTGTGGCCGAGCTTAGAAACGGCAACAACACCATCAGTGAGCAGCGAACGTTATTACATAACAACATACATGTACATAACAACAGTAAAGCGCGTGCTCCATTGTGTCATTTACTATTTGCCTATCGGTGAATGCTAAAAAATGGCAGCGAGCGCTCAAAGCATTACACGCCAATTTCTCGGCGACTATATTTTTTTTTTACATCGTAGTCTTTTGACACTGACAGAAAGTTGACAAAAATCGCCAAAGGTAATATGAGAAAAAAAAACAGTTTTACAATCCACATTGAAACGAAAAACTCCTTTTTCTTTTGATTATGTTATCAAACAAATGGTAAACGGCTTAGCGTGTACTATTGAGTTATGATAGCATTTGGGAGGATTGCTAAGCACTCAAGAAGTTAGAGTCGCACTCGGCAATTACCTCGTGGGACTCTTAACCTTTATTCGTTCTTAGCAACCTTAGTTATTCACTAAATTCTGTTTTTATTTCATTGAAGGCTGTTTATGGCGTTATGTCCGTGCCAGTATGTCCTTATCCGGTTATCTTCCTCCTCTGTGTGATCCCAAGGATGGACATCTGTTACTGGACGGTGGATATGTCAATAATTTACCTGGTAAGTCTAGTTGTTCCCTTGTCTACTGTACTCTTTCCCTTACAAGAAAACTTCCTTTGACACTGCTTTTTCTCTTATGCAAAAATGTAAGCTGCCAGCTCTTGCAAAAGTTGTTTAACCTTGTACAGTGTTTTTATACTTACTGCTTAGAAGTATGGTTTCTGCTGCACTTGACTTTATAGCAGTAACTTTGTAGGATGAAGACAGATTCTTAAAATGACGTTCTTGTCCTGAAATTTTCCTTTGTTTTTGATTCTTTGTTTTTGTTTTTGTTTTTGTCTTTGTTTGTTTGTTTTTTTTTCTCTTTTTTTTTCCTCTAAGCTGTTTTTCGGCGTCCTGTTTTAATCTAATAATTTATTCCGTTCATTTCGCCTGTTTTGTGCTATATCAGCGGATGTCATGAAAACTATGGGAGCCCAGACGATCATAGCCATTGATGTCGGATCAGAGGATCAGGGTGATCTTACAAATTACGGTGATCAGCTGTCGGGATGGTGGCTGTTGTGGAACAAGTGGAATCCTTTTGCTGAAACCGTCAAGGTTTGTGCTCTTCGTCCAAAAAAACAAGTCGGGAAACAAGTTATTGTTCAGTCATCTGGTGTTAGCGAATCAGTCGTTGGGGGGCGTTTATTTTTTTTCCGACTAGCAAGATTAAGGAACACATACTACAATACCTCTCTCCTGGAATATTCTGATTATCCATTCTCCTTTTTTAAACCTTCCTAACAAAGATCAAACGAAACGTTTATTTCAGCAAAAAATCTTTGGGCGGGGGGGGGGGGGGGGCATTCCAATTAATACCCGCTAATAGACTAATACCCCCCCCCCCCCTCAAATTTTCTTCGTCTGGGGAAAGGCGTCGAAAGTTATCTCTGATTGTTATGGCTGTGTCTGCACCTTTGTTCGTTGGAATATTCCTGATGGATGTAAGATAAAAAAATCTTTTTTAAATCTTTTTTTCCTTCGTTGGTAAGGGTCAGCTTACCTCTGCCATAAGGGGATGCTACTATTTGGAATGGCCAATATAGGGGTTACTTTAGAGACTGTGGTGCTCCGTGGTTGAGGGAGTGAAATGCAATAATGTGGTTTCATGGCTATTTAATCCAGGTTTGGCTGCGTATTTGTCTGTTCCATTGCTATTGCTATACCATTTCAGATTCCTAACATAGCAGAGATCCAGTCCCGATTAGCCTATGTATCATGTGTGAGACAACTTGCGGAAGTGAAAGAGAGTAGCTACTGTGAGTACATCAGACCTCCTATCGACAGGTAATGCAATGAAAAGCAAACATGTCTTTTTTATTCTCCTTTGAATGATAGGCTCGTGTTCGCGTTGACATTACATTGAGTTTTCGCGCAACGCATGCTAACCTGCCAATAGAGCGGCGTCTCTCCGTTCTCCGTCCTCTGCGGACGTTCCGACAGACAATCCAACGACGGGCGGTTTCCCGTCATCGCAACTTAAACTTGCTGGTTTAGAGGCTTCATCGAATAAATTCACTGATTGAGCGTATTATCAAGCTGCCTATTGGTTTATTTAACCACGGAAGAACTACAACCCCAGACAAAACTGTTGAGACAATTCCATCTATTTTCTAACTTTTGCGCCCTACTCCCGTCTCCCCTAAACACAAAAAGTAAACCCCCTCCCCACCCCCTATTCAAAGTTGCCTTGGTCTAAAAACCAACGTGTATAATTGCCATGCTATCCTAAACAACTTTGGATAAGGGGAGGGGGGAAATCGGGCATTCATTTGGCGGCGGTTTCAGTTTTTGCCGGGATGACAGGAAAAAATAGGCATTTTCGCGATTTGTCTCAACAGGTTTTGTCCGGGGTTGTAGCTCACTCTCGGTAGAGCGTTTGACTGCAATGCAAGACGTCGAGAGTTCGACCCCCCGGGGCCGCCCCTTGACTCCCGAACCACCCCGGGCCCGGACCAATACTCAGAGCCTTAGAATGACTGGTAAATGAAGGTATTGCTCTTGCCCTGCATTAACTAACCCTTTACCTTGGCTCGGGTGACTACATAAAAAGGCGGTGCCGCCTCCAGTAGAAGACGTTAAATATTGTTCTGAATTAGTACTTTCGTCCTAAATAGATTGAAATGAAGTGCTTCTTCCTTTTAATTTGCAGATTTAAGACCTTAGAATTTGGGCGGTTTGACGAGATAGTGGTGAGTAATAACAGACCTTCCCGTCGATTTGTAAAACAATCATAGCTATTGTTATATAGCTGGAAATTTCTTCTCAACAGCGTGCGGTCTCATTGGTTACTTCGAGGTCATATGACATCTAACAATGAAACTGTTTCCCGCCAAAATCTCTGAGCAGGCAACATTGCAAAAAATCTATGACGTCAGGGGGTAACAATGCAATGTTACCCGCGAATGTTGACTAATGACCGCCGTTACAGCGAGGTTTAATGAATTTCCAGCTTCAAAATTTCCAGCTATATAACAAATCACATTTTTTACGTGTGTGTATCTTTACGAAACACTTCCATTTGTTTATTTATCATCCCCCAGGAAGCGGGTTATCATCACGGAAAAACGGTTTTCGGTGGCTGGGTAAAGGGAAACAGATTACCTGAAATTTTCAATGAGCGCCCGTCTAAAAGTCACATGACCCATGTATACGCAACGTCACAGCCTGCTAGTAAGGTAAGAAACGCAATAGATTCGTCCGGAATCGAGCCACTTCGGTCAGTCCAGTTTGGCTATGCGTTAAGATGACTATGAGTTAATGTTTTGCGTGTTTACGCACATAAATTTTACGCGCGTAAATAGAATAGAGGCACTGTATGAAAGATCACGCGTAACGTTAAAGTTGAACCTCGCTCAACTTTTACGCGTGATACTTCATACATCACCTCTATTTTGTTTATGCACACACGTAGTATTGAGGTAGAGTTTGTCCTATTGCTGCTTTATTCTTCGCCTTAAGGTTGATTTCCACTGTCGCGTTTTTGGCTACGCACTTTAACCCACGTAAATTTTAATCAGGTGAATAAAATAGAGGCAAGATAAAAAGTGCCGAGCTTAAACGAGAAGATGAGCGAGGTTCAACTTTTACGTTTACGACCGACCTTTCGTACTTTGCCTCTATCTTATTTGCGAGCGTAAATTTTACGCACGTACGCACATGAAAATTACGCGACACTGGAAATCAACCCTTAATGTGTACCTCTTTGCAACGAAATGACTTAAAAAGCTTTTAAGAACATGATTTTCCTAGATTTCGACGAGTAGCACCTTCACCAATTTAGCAGAACAGATATCCCGGATTGAGCCTCCCTATATCCACGATTGGCTGCCATACTCTTCTTCCGAAGATATGTTAAGTACCAGTGCTCCAGTCGGTCATCATATGTTCTCTGCCTCGGAAGACGATGAAGAAGACGAAGATGACGAGACTATGGTACGAGTGAGACCGAGAACAGGGTCCCTATCCGAGCACGAAGAAATTTTGGCTCTTAAAGCGCAGGCGCAGGCCATTATTCGACGGGAAGAAGCCGGATATGACGTAAGTCACTCTCGTTTGAGCTTTTCGTCACTTACCTTGGGTTAATGCACCTATCCATTGTTTTGAATACGTCATTAGGGACCTTAAGATCTGGTGTCGGCGACGGCAGTCAAAACGTCGCTGAAAAAGGGAATTTGCGTTCTTTCAATCTTCATTGCGATTATTCCAAGTCACTAACTTTGTCAAATGTAGGTGAATCCTCCTAAAGTTGAATTCCTAAGAACCATATCCAAGTTCAGACAGCGATAGGAAACTTTGTCGTCGCTTGTGTAATTCCTCTGTAAAACGTGAAATGAGACATTTTCACGCCGTAGTAGTGCAGTGACGGCAAAGAATGTACAAAAACGCATGATGTACGTGCAAAATTGTTTTTTGGGTTATTAAACCTATTGCTTTTTTGACAATCTCGTTGCCGTCGCCCTCGTCGGATCTTAAGGTCCCTACTATTTTTAATTACCGGTAGAACAGGCCTCTGAGGTGGAACAGGAGGTCATTATCACGAATAATAACCTACTGTCCCATTTCAGTGGCCACAATAATGACCTGCTGGTTCTAAAACAATTGAAAGGTACATTAAATCGAATAATGCGCTCGCCCCTTGGTCTTCAATAATAACCTCGAGCTGCGCGCTCGGTCATAATTTTTAAGAAGGCCTCTGTGCTCGAGCATTATCCTATATTGAAATATTTGATTCATCTTTTCCTAAAACAATATATGTGTCTTTGACAATTTTCTTTTGCAGTCTGATGATACCCATCTACGAAGAAGAATGGGACCACTTCGAGTTAACACTATTTCGTAGAAGTTTCCTGGCCTCTGCACCGTATAATATGCAGGTAACTGAATGCCCCAGCTGAACTTTTCTGCCATGTGGAAAATAAGACGCTTAGTAACGCATTACATGGACAAGATGTTTTGGTCTCCTCAGATACAATTGACTCAATTTGCATTAGTGGACGAATGACTGTAAACTCTCTGTGTGTCTTAGTGCTTGGAACGTAATTAACTCTACAAAAAAGAAAGAATCACTCAAATTCAGCTAAAAGGAATTTAAACAAGCCTTAGATTGATGCTGGCTAAATCTTTTATTTCTGGATAACAAAGGAACTCCTTGCATGATTTGGCAAAATTTTCAAGCTTGTCTGTCTTGGAACTGAACTGAAATTGCATTACGAGATGGATTTGCTTGCTCTCTTTTAAAATGATCTAACTGATCGTAAATAATCACAAATGTGTGAAGCTCCAAAACAGCGTTAAAATGCGCAAATGTATTCACTGCGTCTAATCATTTAGTCAATGTCGTGAGGGGAATTTTCTTTGAAAATTTCAATTGCACCTTAGTCAAGTGCTTACTTAAATCATATTCACATGACGTATGCTTAAATAGCTGGGAAGGACAGTTACATTCTGTGACGTCTAACGGCAGTGTGAAGTAGCGATTTTGCAATTTGTTGCACACGCGCATATATATTTAAATAGGTTTGAAATGCCAATTGTAAACAAAAATCTGAAAAAATGTAAGTGGGGAGATATAGGAAGGCTGCGTGTGTGAACAGGCGTTATTGCCTGTCTTTTTCAAAAAACGTATTTTGGAAAATAAATGATATGAAAATTCTTGGTTTGCAACCACGTGACAAGGCGGCCATGTTGGGTTTAAGACAATAGAATTTTTTCTCGAAAATTTTACATGAAAATAGAGTTTATATTCGCAGAGAGAAATGTTTTTCTTCTGGCCTACACTTAATTCCATCCGCCAAACTGACGTTGACACATTAATGATTCGTACACAAAGTAGGGTTAGGGTTAGGGTTTGGGTTAGGGTTAGGGTTAGGGTTATATATTTAAATCAAACTGGTATTCGTCACCGAGGATGTGTAGGGGTTAGAGTGATGCACTCCAGATCGGATGCTCCGAGTTCGAATCCTACTCATTCTATCCTGAATTGTTTTTTTTCCTTAAAAATTGAAGACACTTTGACTTTTATGAACATTTCATCAAGAAATTTCATATAAGAAAAGTGAAATGTCTTGTGAGAGGAGGATGTCAGTTTGGAGGATGGAATCAAGTGACGACCTTTTCTTCTTGACCACCAACATGGCCGCTGTGACGTCAAGTGCAAACTCTTCGTGAAATTTCTCGCGCGCAGCCAATTTGTTGTGGATGTCGTTTTATTACTTTTATGGGGAAGAAAAAATAAATAGTAAGAAATGTAGCTGCTACCAAATAACGCTATACCGTGAATTGCTTTGTTGTAGTTGTTGTTGTTTGTTTGTGAAGTGTTAAAAGCGAGTAATCGTCACTTTACCTTCGTGTTATCTTTAAAAAGGTAGAGTATCCGATAACCCTTCTTAAAGTCGTGCGTCTTAACTTTCGGGGGTTGCATCTGTAAAGGACGTCATGCTCAACAAGACCAAACCAAATATAGAAAAATGACCAGAAAGCCTCGGAGTCATGTTTGAACTTAATATATCGAACGTGGGCTATTCTTGGATGCCAGCCACGTGACAAGGCGGCCATGTTGATGGTCAGTACAATAAACAATTTTTTGAAGAATTTACCTGAAAACGAAATTTAGTTCCCAGCGGAGAGAAACACTCATGTTCTTGATCACCATAATTTATTATAACCTGAGATCAGGCCCAGTTTTAGTGGCTTCTATACATTCTTTCTTACGTGGTCGCGCTATAATTTGGCCTCTCTTTACGTTTCGCCTTTCCTGATCTCAGGTTAAATTTATTACTCACAGCTGACGTAAAACAAAGAAAACAAAACATCCTTAACAATGAACCTAACCCTGACAAAAGTCCATTAAACAAATAAAACGAATCAATACCGGGGATGAGCCATAAAACCTTTCGAAACATTTTTGCTTTCCTACTTAAGAAAGCCAACCCCTAGCAATTGTACATCAGCCATGGTATATAGATGTAGTAACACATTTCTATGTGATAGTTTATCGTCAACTATTCACATACGAAATCCACGCCAAACAAAAGTGCCCATTTATGATGAGCTTACATTGATGCCATGATAAGGGAGAATAACTTAACAGACTTGATGCAGGGCTGGCAACACGGCAAAGGGTTGATTTATTTGAGACAAATATTTCAGCTAACAGAATTAGCCTTCCTCAGGGCACAGCCCTGAGGCTGTACCGCCGCCTGGTTAGCTCAGTTGGGAGAGCGCCGGTCTACTGAGCGGGAGGTCGCGGGTTCAAACCCCGGCCGGACCAACACTCAGGGTCTTTAAATAACTGAGGAGAAAGTGCTGCCTTTGTAATAATATCTGCAAACGGCTAGACTTTCTAGTCTTCTCGGATAAGGACGATAAACCGTAGGCCCCGTCTCACAAGCCCTTGCACATGTATTAAACCTGTGGGACGTTAAAGAACCCACACACTCTTCGTAAAGAGTAGGGCACGTAGTGCCCGGTGTAGTGGCCTATCTCACTTTCACACTCATGTATGGGGGCACCATTACTCATTCCTTCACTACTTGTAAACTGCACCTTAAGCAGTCTGGCAAAGTCCCCCAACCAGTGTTGTAAATTATCCCTGAAAAGCCCTGAGGGGAGTGGATAAAAAGATATTTACAATTTACAATTTAGCTACACTGAAAGTAGCAGGGTAGCGGGTGTTTGTACCTCAACAAACAGCACAATCCACTTTGAAGGAAGTGCGCGTGAAGAGAAACACAGGACTAAACATCAAGCTTTAAAAATATATTACTCCAAATAAATACGAAATTCTACATGTGTAGTATCAAATGTACCTGTCCGGTAGTTAGTTCCGATTTAAGCATCCACCCCATCTGCAATACAGTTTGCCTATGTGCAACCTACAATCTTGGACAAAAGGTGTTAGGATTTTTGCATTTTCTTACCCACAGAACGCCCATCCCGCGGATTTGGTACCGCTATAGTCCCTCCCCTTACCCCACCCTGGTCAAAGTTGAATAGCCGCCCGGATCAGAAATAGAAATGATCCAGCCGGACTTCAACATTGTTTTTGTGGGAGAAAGGGGGAGTATCTGTAGTTAATAGTGCTTTTAGGAGCTTTATCTTAAAACTAGACATTGTGAAGTCCATTTTTCTTAACATTTCTGTCCAAGATTGCATCTTCAATCACTAATCAAACCCAAAAATGTCCTTTTAATATGAACATCTCGATCGAGGGGCAAAAACAGTCTCATAAACGTGACCGTGATAAATTCTTAAAATTACTTGTATTATGCTGTTAACACCGATTTATCTCTTTGCATTCCGAAGACGTTGCCCTACAAATGAAAGGAGACGATCGACCTGAAAATCGACTGAAATTATTTCGACTCACTCTCCGCGTTTCGGAAGCGTGGGAAAATTTAAAGCGAAAGTTAGGGCAATGAAAATGAAAGGGAAATTCGCCACTTTAGAATCGAGAAGGAACTGGAGCCAAAATGCGTCGCGCAATTGTGTCTGGGATCGTTACTAAGGACGCGCCGGTCAGTCCCTAGTAACAGTCCCAGAAATCATTGCGAAAGTTAACTCGACCCAGTTTCCGTCTAGTGCTTTCTTGTATGGTGCCTTGAAATCGTAATTACAATCAGATATAAAACAATAAATTTACCGATTAAGGAATTAACTTACTGCACTCCTCAACACAAGTTTTGTTAATAAAATAAAACAGAAAGGTCTTGGATCTTGTTCACGGCAAACTGAAAACATCAATTTGTACCATGTGGTCCATTTTTTTCCTTTGTTTTTGTTGTTGTTTACTGTTCATTACCTCTAAACGAAAATAAACAACTTTCCTCTTGCCATTGTTCTGTTTATATTTGTTTATTTCTTCGTTCAGAAATTGTCAACTTTGATGTGACGTTTGTCGTTTGATGAAAACGCGAGTCGAAATCTCTAGACCCTCCTCGATCTCCATATTTAGATGATACTCAGCCTCATTCAATAATCGTTAATTATTTATCGCTGGCTTCCTAGGTTTTATCTTAGTCGGTGAATTTTCTTGCACGGACACTTACTGGAACACAACAACAACAACTTTATTTGTACCCTACATGCATTGATTTGCATGATACAAAAAAAAAATTAGGTAAAATATGGAGAGAGTGAGACGGCTCTTCCCTTCGTCAGAACGCATCCTAATCTGGTGTTCCTGTGGCACAAAGGGAGAAATTTTCGAGCTATCACGGGCCACTGCAAATTAGCCGCCCCTTATTAGTTTTATCAGGGGAATCTTGGCTGGGAAACTGGGTCCCTTTCGACTCGATTTCGTTTCCGTAAATGACGAACGCGGATCCGTAATCAATGATTACCTCTAGTAACCATACACGTGACTATTTTTGTCTGTTCAAATAAGGTTCATTTTCCAGTTCTTGGCAGGTGCAAAACGAAGGCATTATCTTGGCTACAAATTAATTAAAACTCCTCTGACAGTTTAAATCGTAGTTACTAATGATCAGGCAAATATTATCGCTTACGCACGGAGCCCAATGACAATTAACCGAGGCCCAGCTGCAATACTCGGCAAAATTTTTCTTTTTCGGAATTTCATCCACTGCAGCAAATACTATGCTCCTTCTTTCTTCCACTGAGTCATTTTTTACTTCAAACTGCAACGGTGAAAATTTTGTTAAACTGTTTTTTTAGGGTAGCAAAGCCATCTGCTATGCAGGTTAGTGTGCTTTAAAGAAACAGCCAGTAATAACATACAATTGGGCATGTCACGAGGATATTGTTTCTTTTTGTAGGTCAATTCTTCGCTGAAGTTATTACTTACTACCTTAAACCATACACGAAATGCTTCTGTTGAGTTATGAAGACATTGAACAAATTTCATCGATGACCTGTACCCATAATGATATTTTTGGCAATTTTTGCAGGCATGGAATTTAAACTTGGAAAAGTTGGCCCAACCTTTTCAAGTTTCAAACCATGAACATCCTTGCCATTCGTTGCAATAGACGACAGTTTCTTAACCTTAATATAGACTTTAATATCATAACTGGACCATTGTTTTTAGAATTTAATTGATGCAAAAAAAATTATATACACATATATGTTGTAGTGAATTTTTAATATCAGGTAATTTTTGTTTTTCTTTTGTTTTCGGGTATGGTAATGTTTGCTAATAAAGTTGAAACAAAGGAAAACATATATAAACAACATATATATCGTGGCATAGCCCCTTGAAAAGAAATCTGTCACATCTTTAAGTAGATACTAACAAAGCTACACCTTACGGAAAAAATTTCTTTTTGGCTAATAACTATTAGTCATTCCTTGATGGCGCCAAAATCCTACATTAAGGTGACTCTAGTATTTCATTATGTGGTCTAATTCATTCGTCTTTCATAAAGGCAATTATAGATGATAATTACTTAACAAATTTCAGTTTGGCGTGCTGTCAAAGCAGCATCTTAAAACTTCCTGGATATCACATCTGTTTGTACTAGTATGCCGACATGAACTCCACAGTAAATGAACCGGGTTGCTCAAGTCAGCTAAATTCTACGGAAGGAAAGGTCGGGCAGACCTTTGCTTACTGCTTAATCCTTGTTCTTTCTTTGGTCGGGAATTCCTCCATTGGAATAATAGTGTACAGAACCCAAACTATGAGGAAACCGATAAATTATTTCGTTACGAACATGGCCATGTCCGACTTGCTATATTCAATTTTCTTTTTTCCACACAAAATAGCCCTGTTATACAAGGGACAGTCATGGCTTGTTGGCAGTGGCTTTGGTCAAGCAATGTGTAAATTGCTTCCTTTCTTATCCGACACGTCCACTATTGTTAGCGTTCAGAGTCTGATTCTGATAGCAGTGGATCGATTTGGCGCTGTGTTATTTCCCCTCCGTTCTCCACTCATCACGCCAAGACTGTGTCCCTTCTTCATTCTCGCCACATGGGTTATTGCCATGGCTTATCAGTTACCATATTTATTTGTCCACAAACTGGTAGATTACCAAGGGAAGCTAACTTGTAAAATGCGTTGGAAAGAGACTTTTGGAGACTCCTCGTCGCTTGCAAACTACTTCCTAGCAGGATTTATTGTATTCATTTACCTGCCGATTGTCTTGTTGGCGATGCTGTACTCCAAAATTTTTGTCAAACTCAGATCACAAGCGCATCCAGGTGAGCAGTCGACCAACGCCGAGGAACAACGCACCAGAAGAAACAACAGCGTGCTAAAGATGGCCATTGCTATTGTCTTAGGTTTTGTGATATGCTGGGTGCCTTTCACTGTCACTCTCTTGCTCCAATTGTTTGCATGGAACCGTTCTTCAATTCCTTGTAACGCAACACACTACGTGACATTCACAAGGTTTTTAGCCCACACAAATTGTGCTATAAATCCTCTTATCTGCTTCACCTTTAGTAGCAACTATCGTCAGGGTCTGAAAAAACTCATCCACTGTTTTAGCAGTGCTGCAGTGCTTCCAGCTTAAGATTATTGCCCAACAGAAAAACAAGCTGAGAAGCGAAACTGTAACCAGCCCCTTGGGATGATCGTGCGAGTG